CCTGGCTCCTGGCTCCTAGATCCTCGCTCCCCGATCCTCGCCAATCTATCCTCGCTCCTCACTCCTCGCTCCCCGATCCTCAATCCTCCACCCTCGATCCCCGATCCTCGACCCTCGCTCTCCGATCCTCGCTCCTCGATCCTCGCTCCGCGATCCTCGATCCTGGACCCTCGATCCCAGATCCTCGATCCTCGATCCTCGCTCCCCGATCCACGATCCTCGCTCCCCGATTCTCAATCCTCCATCCTCGAACCGTGCCCTACTCCGAGGAGGTTCCCCCCCAAATTTCTCAATCCTTCCTGGACGTTCGTCTTCCCCTCTGTACTTCCTACATTTTTCCGCACGTTCCTCCTGACCCGCTCCTCCTGCGAGCGAGAGCAGGGCGGTGCCAGAGGGAGACAGGCACAGGGGAATAAAACATCCAGCGCGAGTCGGCGATGCATCGCCGACAGATCGGCGACAGGCCCCCGATGGCGAATCCGCACCGTCCTGGGCGGGGTAAGCCCTCGGGCCCAATCGGCGATCAATGGGCGCCCGGAGCCCCCCCTCCCCTTGGGGCCTATCGTCGGGAATGTCTGCTTAGCGCGTCGCGGCACCGGCCCAGGCGACATGCTGTGCCTTGCAAGCAGATAGCGCGCCGCTCCGCTCCGCGGGGCGGGAGGCTGAGAACAGCTCGGGACGTTGACGCTTGGGAGTGGGAAGTGTGGATAGCGTTAGAGAGCAGAGAACCCACCCCCAGAATAAGCACCCCGACAAGCGAGGCCGTTTAGTAAACGCACCCAAGGAAGAAATCGAACAGGGCAGGGCTGTTTAGTAAACGCCCAGGGCCGTTTAGTTAACGCCAAATGTCGGGGTCGGGGTGGCTTTTCCTCCCTTGAAACGTGTTTCGCCGAAGCGTGGTGGTCCACGGACGGCAGAGCGACACGCTGACCCAAACTTGCCGACCGCCTCCCGCCCGAACAGCGCCCCTGATCTCTCTCTGTCCCTGGCTCTCGAGATTCCAACAAAAATCTGGCTTCTAGGATTTGTTTAATGCTTGAATGCATAAAAAAAAGCCTGCAGATTTGGAGCATGTGTTGAATTAAAAGCCCTGTCGAAGAACGGATGGCGAGCGAAACGCGGCTGTTCGCCCGCCACGCGGCCATCCGGCCCGCACGGCCGGCGCCCGTTGCCGCTGAGGCACTTGCGGCATCTTCCTCTGCACGGTGCACGAGCGCTGCGCTCAGGGCCGTGGGGAGGAGAAACATCAGGGGGAACGAAAGGGAAGGATAGCAAAGGGTAGGGTAGAGAATCAGCTCGCGTAGCTGATTCTCCTGGCGCCTCCCGGCGCCAAGAGGCGCCCATGTTTCGAGGAGTGGGCCCGGCGGCGTGGCCGAAACCAGCTGCATGCAGCAGATTCCGTACCCCCCCCTTTCCCTATTCCCCCTTTCGTTCGGTCCAATATACGAGCGCTGCGCCCAGCCAGGGCCGTGGGGAAGATAAGAAGGGGGAGGAGGGCCCATAGCGGGATGGGCACGCATACAATCATAAGCGCTTCCACAAGGAACCCTCAATAAGGAACGAGGTCCTTTTTTCTATAAGTGAATCTTCGCTTCCCCATATAGAGAACCGGAAGAAAAACCTAAGACTAAGTGTACAACAATTGAGGAACACCGAGCCCCTCCCAAACAAAAAAAATCCTCCTTCAACGGCCCGACTGTGGGAATCCTAGCCGGGGCGGTCTTGGACGCCCTGGACGCCTCCGTTAGGAGGGGACGGGAGGGGGCGGTGGGGGAGGAGATGGAAGACGTGGGTGGGCGGAGGGAAGGAGCAGGAAGGAACAGACCAGTTCGATGCCACAAACTCCCTCGCGTGAGCAGCTCATGCGTGACAGTGTTGTCGCCGCCGCTGTTGGGAGGGAGGGGCGGGATGAGAGGGGAGCGCGTTGCCGAGAGTGTGGGCACCGCCCCCTGGAGAGCAGTGCTGACGTGGAGGGGCTGGCGTTGCGCGCCGTCGGGGAGGCGCCACGTCCCCCTTTGGAAGAAGGGAGCTCGTCGAACTGCGCGTTCGTGATGTCCGTGATGGGTTCTTGGCAGTGGCGCCGATTGTTGATGCCTGGTATATGTTGGAGCATGGTATGCATGCGGGTGCGTGGTGCATGCTGCCCCTATAACAGTAACACAAGTAAGTGGCCCTTGATTGCGACGGGACGTTGATCTGTGTATGGTGTTGATGTGTGATTGGGGTGGGCTCTTCGCGTCTGGCAGTGGTGTACGCAATGGGTGTACGTTTTTGGGGTATGCTGCAGATGTGTGGTCGTAATGTGCAGTGGGTGTTCGTTGTTGGTGTATGGTGGTCGCGTTGGCTCCTCAAGTGTCATTGATGCACGGCCTTGAATTCTGCACAATACACACAAGATCGTGGTGCCTATGTTTGACGTGCGCTCGTGGCGTCTGTCCCTGCATGTATGTGTACGGCATGTCATCGAAATGTGTCACTTTTGTACAACAGGCAGCACCCCGGAGGCCCCTTGGCATGTGCTAACGATGCAGACATGTGATGCCTTCTAGTCGTGGTCGTGTATTCTGCAATCGGTCATGCCCCCGTAGCCGCATTAAATGCATGCACCCCCTCGCCTGAGGCGATGACCCCTCTTAAGCTTAGGGTCATGGAGCCGCGCTGAGGCCACGATCCCGCGTAGAGAAACGATGGATGTGCGCCCGGAGCTTCCAAAACGGCCCATGCAGGCAACCAAGGACACCAAAATGGCCAAAGATGCCTCGAATACGGCCCAAGATGGCGCCAAGGCTGCCGAAGATGGCCTCAAGACAGCCCACGATACTTCCACGAGGATCTTAAAGGGCCACAAGAGGACCTCCAACATGGCCCGAAGAAGCCAGGCCCATTGATTCTTTGTGTTTGAATGATTTTCGCATTCTCGCCTTTTCGGGCGTCCGTCGGTTCAAGACGGCCCAAGAGGCCTCAACGAGGGCTCCCAAACGGCCCAAGTCCCCGAAGACGGTCCCAAGATGTCCCAAGAGGTCTCACGATCGCCCAAGAGGCATCCAAGACGACCCCAAGCCGGCCAAAGGGGACCCCCAGTGGGACACAAGACGGCCTTACAAGGCTCTTCGACTGCCTCGGACGGCCCCACGATGGCACCCAGACGCCCACCATCCGACCAAGAAGGCCAACACACAGCCCGAGGCGGCCCCAAAGGACCACATGCGTGCCTCCCAGGAGGCCAAGACCACCCCAAGGCAGCCCGAAGGATTTCCATGAGAGCTCCTCAAATCGTGAAGAAGAAAAGTTTCACATGTAACGGCCATCCTCTTCCTCCTCCTCGTCCTCCTCCTCCGTCCCTTCCTCTTCCTGCTCCTCCTCCTCCTCCTCACCACCATCAACACCATCATCATCCTCAACACCATCACCACCACCGTCATACCCAGAACCGTTGTCATAGTCCTCCTCCTCACCATCATCATCATCATCATCATCATCATCATCAACATCATCATCATCATCATCATCATCATCAACATCATCATCATCATCAACAACAACATCCCCACCGACATCATCACCCCAACATCACTGCATGATCAACCGCAATCAGCATCAATATCAACATGATCATCACGGCTCTGACAACCCTGGAGACACGAATTGCCACCCGTGACGGAAACGGTGACGGCCACCCGTGCCACCTCGCACCGTCGCAACCCGGAATGTGTGTAGAATGAGGCATTCGCTTGCGCTTCGCGAGCGGCCTGGCTCTATCACAAATCAGGAGAAGCAATCGGCAGCGGAACTTTGGCTACATGTGAGCATTGCTCTTGCGATGGGCCAATTGCTGGGGGCGACCCTGCGTCGTTCGGTCAGGGAGTGCCAGAGCACTGACGTGGTATAACCGTCGAGGTGGCGGTTCCCAGCCACTGGCTTCCGTGTTAAGTTGAGGCAGTGCTCGTGGGGGCAGCAGAAGGCTGCGTGTCGCACGATCCTTCTGCGAAGTTGTCGTGCCGACCTGCGGCTCTCTGTGGGGTGTGCTCGAGAGGCGGTGGCGGGACATACCCCAAGCAGCGGGTGCGGGTTTGGTTCGGGGGAGTGGCGTTGGGCGAAGAGGTCGGTGTCGAGGCATCCCAGGGAGTCTGCCATGATCCCGAAGGACTCGGTGCGAACATTCGCAATGCCCTCACTGGGGATCCCGAATTCCTCCGCCGGCGGAGGCGCCGTGCCCACTCCGCCCGCCCGTCCACTCTGAGCGGCACAACGCACCCTGCATCGCTGCCCCTTGCCGCCGTCCACCATCCGCCGTCTGCCACCACTGTCCACCCTCCACGTCCTTCTCCTCCTCCTCCTCCCTTCTCCTCCTTCTCCTCTTACTCGTTTTACGCTTCCCTCTGATCTGCATCCTCATTCCTCCCGCGTCGACACGGGAGACGAAAGGTCGTCAATGGGACATGCGCAAAGAAGCGCAACCTAAGATCAAAGGCCGAAGGGCAAAAATGAAAGCAATGGCAGAGAGAGAAAGAGAGACAGAGACAGACAGACAGAGAGAGGTACCAGAGGACCCGTCCCCACGTCCTGCGCTCTCACTCCCTCCCTCCCTCCCTCCTTCCTCTGTATTCCCCCCTAGGGAACCAAAAGGTACTGATGCCGTCACTCCCCAGACCTCTTCAAGAGGGGCTTCTGAATAGAACTTCGAGGCGAATCCAGCGGTGGTGACGAGTGCCTCCCTGGAGGCCCTGAACAATGCGAAAACGAGGAAGTAAGGGAACGAATAATGACATAAACACAAAAACTCGAAGGTCCGCGCCTCCCTGGCGCGCGGAGCGTGCCAGGGGCGGCGCTGGAGGCACCGCCATGGGGGCCCAGCGCGGATCCGAGAAATCCGTGCTGACCTCCGAGTATTCATGCTTTATGTTCTTCTTCGCTCCCCTATCGAAGGCAACGGTATCGGTACCGTTTGCACCTCTGCCTCCCTGCTCTTGCCTCCTCCCGCCCTCCCCGAACCGACCCCTCCGGCTCTTGCGGCCCAGGCGCCCCACGTGCTTCGCGCGCTTCGCGATGGAGCCGCAGATGAGGTCCGGCCACACGCGCCGGCGCGGCATGTCCCGGAGGAGCCACACGGCCCACTCCCACTCCTGTCGGAGACCAGCAACTTGCGCCATCGCTCGGACGTCCATTGCCCCCGTGCGCGTGTCGGTTTCGTGCGTGCCTTGTTGTTGCCAGATGGTCCAGGAAGCTCCCGAAGGGGCCTCGCCGACTGAGAATGCAAACGTCCGAGCGATGCCAAGACAACGTCTTGTCCACGATACATCTTGGCCAAAAGATGTGCCAAAAGACGCCATCGAGAGGTCGCAGCCGCCTCCTCCTCCTCCTCCTCCTCCTTCTCCTCCCCCTCCTCTTCCTCATCCTCTGCCTGCTCACTTGCCAACAGTGGTGCAATCTTGGTCGGCGGAATGAGCGAACCGACTGAATTCGGCAGGCCCCCTGAGGGTCCTCGCCGAGGTAGACCTGGGCCGGCACGAGAACGGAAAGACAGTTTCAGACACTTGCCGCAGATGGCTTATGGCACCGTTCGCTCTTCTGAGCCTTGTTGTGAACATAATGTTACGTGACAGCCCGCTCTTGAAAGCTTTGGTGTTCAGAGCCTGTCACATCAGTGTGACGTCTGGGCAACCTTGGTGTTACTCGGGGATCTACTGACCCCAGTCAATCCAGATCGGGGTCAGCCAGGCTTTGCAAGATCCTGCAGGATTATGCAGGACCCTGCACTCAACCCGGGTCAATGCAAACCTGGCTCTGCGGGATCCTGCAAGATCTGTCGCGCTGACTGACCCCTTTTTCATTAACCCCCGTCTCGTTAGCTCCCCGTTGCGCGCTTTTCTGTCACCGATTCCTCTTGGAACCCTTGGTGCTAAGAGTAGTTGGCGTAATCGCTCGCTGTTGGGAACCATGGTGTGAAGAACTTATAACGTCACTGTGAGCTCTTCGGGCCCTCGTTTATTCAGCGTCTCCGAACCTTCCTGGGTGTCCTTGTGGGGCCCTCTAGGGACGTCTTGGGGCACTCTTCGGCCGTCTTGGAACCCTCTTTCGCCGTCTTGGGGCGGCTTGGAGGCCCTTGGCCGTCTTGGGGCTCTTTTGGGGGTCCCATGGGGCCCTCTTGGGAGCCTCCTGGGGCCCTCCTGGGGCTCTCTTGGGAGCCTCTTGAGGCCTTCTTGGGCCGTCTCGGGGCCCTTTTGGCCCTCTTAGGCCGTCTTGGGCCCCTCTTGGGCCATCTCGGGGTCCCTGAGGCCGCCATGGGACGATACTTGAGGCCTCGTGGGCCGTCTTGGGCATTTCTTGGCTCGAATGCGGGAACCCGAACAACCTTCACAAACTTCAAGGACATGAATTTGTAGGCATCCTGAGGCCCTTTCGGGGGTACTCTTGAAGGCCTCTGGGGCCGTCTTGGGGCCCTCTTGGACCGTCTTGAATCTTAGGCCACCTTCGAACGCTCTTGGGCGGTCCTGGGCTCTCTTGGACCGCGCTTGGGCTCTCTTGGGTGGTCCCTTGGCTCTCTTGTATCGACTGTATTCCACCAGCCGACTGTATCCTTTGAAAAGTCGGAACCCACATCGGAATCCCAAACCGAAGCGAATCGGAATCGGGAGCTATCGACAGCGAAGCGAATCGAAGCGGAAGAAACGAAAAACGAACCCCGATAGGGCGAGGAAGAGACCACAGCGGCTCGAGAAATCTGCCGCTGGGCCCCCTTCTGAGACCCACGCGCGCCAGTTGTCCGAGCTGTGCCCAGCGGTGGCGGCGACTGACTGGCTCATGGCTGATGAAGGTGCCCCCGAAGCCATGCACTAGGGGGCAAACAGACCTACCTCGCTTTTGACCTCCCTCGCTTCCACGAGATACCAAGCGATGCCAAACTACGGCCTGTACTGGTCAGGCCGCTTGACGAGGAGGCGCGTGAAAATGACTTGGCTTTGCCTGGGAGCGAAAGGGGCAGGCAACTCACGCTCTTGCGCACACCTGCCCTGCCCTCGTCGCCTCGGCTGGGTGACGAGGGGGGCGCATGGCGAACCACCCGATGGCGAACCACACCCGATGGCCCCCCCCACCCGATGGCGAACCACACCCGGTTTGGCCCGCCCGCCTCCGAGAAGGGGGGCGCGGGGATAGGGGGGCAGAGCGCCGATCTCCGAGAAGTCCGCGCGGGGCCCTCCCAAAACGGGGGCGCGCCGACGGGGATCGGGGGAGGTGCCCTCCCCAAAATGCGACCGGTGCCGCCATGCTCGGTGGCGGAGATAGGCGCTTTCCCAGGGAAACGGGACCCGTCGCTAATCCACGCCCATCGCCTGAACTTTGCCGTTCTTTACCTTTCGACTCAGGGCCTGCTTCCTCACGACCTCCCCTTTGACATTCCCAAGGCCTCCTCGTCCTCCTCGTCCTCCCTCCTCCCTTGATCCGTGTTTGCGAGCGCCTGGCAACAGCGCCCGCTGGTGCAGGTTGTGTGCGCCCGTGTCCTTGGCCCTCTCGCACGCGCTCAGCACGGCGGTGTAGCTCATCACGTCGGGGCGGGCGCTGGCGTCCCACATCTCCTCCAGGAGCGACACGGACTGTGGCGGCGCGCGCGGGGGGGGGTCATCCTCTGCCTCCTGCCCCTTCCCCCCCGGCTCCTCTTCGTTCTTGTCCTCCAGCTCGTCGTCTTCCTCCTCCTCCTCCTCCTCCTCCTCATCCTCCTCCTCATCGTGGTCGTCGTCGTCCCCCCCCGTCCCTTCTCCTGAGAAACAGCTCTTCACTGTCGCACTCCAAGACACGTCGGTAGGGCAGGCTGGGCGTCTCGCCAGAGACTTCCTTGATGTTAACGGACGGACCCAGCAATGAACTTCTTCCTCCGAATTCTCAGAACACTCCCCCACCGACCCCTGCTGGGCGGGCCCTGCTGGGCGGGCAGAAGAGATACCCTCTCCCTTCTGGGCGCCTTCTGGCTAGAATTTGGCGGCGAATCCAGCCGTGGCGACGAGAGCCGCCAAGGAGGCCAAACCAAAAAATGTGAACGAGGCGCGATATCGGCGTCTTTCCTGTGAGCCCTGCCCCATCCGATCCCAGACTCGTGGGCGGCCAAGAGGGGGGCGTCCAAGAGGGGAGGGCGCATATCATGGCCGAAGGCATGTGCGCGGCCAAGGGGGGGGCTGGGGACGTAATAAAATAAGAAGAGGCGCCATGAATTCTGAGGAAATATCATGCCCCAGGCCATGATATCCCTCCGCCCATAGTCATCACCCCCCTCTTGCCGCCCCCGACAGACCTCCGCCGTCGTCATTCTTTTCGCACCCCAGAAGTCTGGGCCCCTTCCCCGGGACCAGCTTTGCATCCCGAGCAAATTTCTACGGACACAGGGCCCCGTGAAGGCCACACTGGCTCAAACCCTTCGTCGTCAGCTATGTCAGCAGCGCCAAAGAGGCATGATATGGCTGTAAGTCGGAGCCTGGACAGGCACAAACTCGACAAGGCTAAATCGGTGATCTCTGAGATTCGGCGGTTCTGGTGGATTTACTGGGCGCCGCGGCCGTTCCAGACCGCCCCGGGAACCGGAACGCTCTCAGAACGTTCAGACAGCTCTGGAACGATGTATCCCTATCCTACTTGGATCACCGATGGGGGGGGTGGGGGTCTAATTGGATTCCAATGTGAATTATAGATCTGGCCTAAACTCGCTTGCAAGTGCGTTGCAAGTGCCTTACGCGTCTTACGCGGTGCAAGGATCTGGGCCAAGTGGGCAGAGCCCCCTTGGCAGAGTTAGCTGACCACTTTAAACCACTTCGGGCCGCTGTAACCCATTGATGAGCAAGGCTACGCCCGATGTTTCCACCTTTGGGCTCGTGACTTGCCTCGCCCCCGCCCCCCCCTCCGACCCCCTCCCTGGCCACGTCACGATTCGCGCCGGCGCCGACTGGGAATGAGCCATCCGTAAGCACCCCCAGACGTGGCCACCGCCAATTGTGACGTGACCAGCTCCCAGCCCCTCCTACCCCCAACGATCACGCTCATTGTCGCCAGGAGGTAGCAAAAGTCGATCCTCTCAGCAGCCCCAGCGGTGATCCAAGTAGCCCCGCCCATGGAGATGGCCAGGGCGTCCGAGCTGGATGGGCCTCTTCGAAACGGGGGGATCCAGGCACATCCCCTGACAATCAATCCCCGGACCCCTCCAATGGTCCGTCTGGTGGCCCCGTTCGACGGTCCCGGTGCCAGAAAAAGCGGCCCCAGGAGAACCCGAAAGGCCAAAAAACCTTGTCGAACCCAGCATCTGCTGGCCAGAACCGGCACTGAGCCAGACCCCCCGCCGACTCCTAAACGGGGGGGTGCGTCCAACGGGGGAGGAGGATCCTGGATGTTGGCTGCTGGTGGAAATCTCTCGGCCACCCAGGAAGCCTGCACATTACCACCATCCCCGAGATCCAGATCCTCTTTCCTCGGTGGAGGCAGCCCGCCGCTGTTGGAGTTCGGGTTCAACCTCTGGGCCTCCGAGAATCAGGAACATCGTTCCCCATCCCCTCAGCAGCTCCAGCGGTGATCCAAGTGGCCCCTGTGGGGTCCCAAAACCGTGAGGTGACAGTCCCGGCGATGACCTCGAACTCCGAACAGACACCACCGCGGGGGCGGGCACCACACGGTCCTTTGGGACCTCGGATGCCCCCGCTACCCGAGAGACGTCCTCGGCGAACGACCCGAGCCCCAAAACCGTGCGGCGACTCCGAACCCCCGTCGACTCGCCACACGGTGTGGTCACCACACCGTCTGGGGGCCCCCGCGCCCCGCCCGGCTCCGCGCCCCGCCGGGGCCTCCTGCCACCTGCCGCCCCGCGCGCAGGCCAGCAGCACAGCGCCGTAGCCGGCGCGGCGGGGCGCAGCCGCGCTGCCGCGGCGGAGCTGGGCCCAGACCTGGAGAGGCAAAAAGATGCCTCGTGACCCACGAGGGGGGCCAGGTGCAACGGGCGGTGGTGCAACAGCCTTCGGGGAGCTGTATTGCACAGGCAAGTACTGCGCCAGAGAACCGTATGGCATTGCATTTTCACGAACGCATCGCACGCGAACATCCAGGGATACATCTGCGCACCAGAAACACTCCAAATCCATTACGACCCCAAATCTATTACACCAAATCTATTGCGCCACCCCCTTTGCGCTGGACCCCCTGTTGGGCCACCCAGGAGGATGGTCGCAAGTTGGCCCCATCGTACTTGCGGGCCACGTCCCAGACAGAATTTCGAGCACCCAGGAGAGTAATTATCGAAGCAGTGTCTCCCCGGCAAGCTGGCGAGGTACCGGTCGAGAATTCGCTTCCCAGGGCCGCGCACGCCAAAACGCGCTCCAGATTCGAAACTTTCTTGGTGCCCGAACCCCTTTTCTGGTGATCAAGGCTCAAGTCGGCTGGAACATCATAAGGATAGGCACAGAGCGGGATGCAGCGGGGGAGGAGGAGGAGGAGGAGGACGAGGAGGAGAAGGAGGAGTAGGAGGAGGAGTAGGAGGAGGAGGAGGAGGACGAGGAGGAGGAGGGGAAGAGGAGGAAGAGGAGGACGAGGAGGAGGCTGCGGATACATCGCCCTGATATTAACGACGAATGGTCGAAGTATCTACGTCTACTAACCATCCGTGGTGGATGAGTGCGGAGGAGGAGGAAGAGGAGGCGGAGGAGGAGGAGGAGGAGGAGGAGGAGGAGATTGTGGATACATCGCCCCGAAATCAACGTTGAATCGTCGATGTGTCTACGTGTATCTACCACCCCTGGTCGAAGAGTGAGGAGGAGGCGGAGGAGGAGGAGATGGTGGATACATCGCCATGACGATTCGTCGATGTACCTAAGTATATAAACCATCCGTGGTCGATGAGTGAGGAGGAGGCGACGGAGGAGGAGGAGGCTGTGGGGCTGTGGAGACATCGCCCTGATATCAACAACGACTCGTCCATGTATCTACGTATATCAAACATCTGTGGTCGATGAGTGAGGAGGTGGAGGCGGAGGAGGAGGAGGCTGTGGATACATCGCCCTGATATCAACGACGAATCGTCGATGTACCTACGTATAGCAAGCATCCGTGGTCGATGAGTGAGGAGGTGGAGGCGGAGAAAGAGGGGGGGAGGCTGTGGATACATCGCCCTGATATCAACGACGCATCGTCGATGTACCTACGTATAGCAACCATCCGTGGTCGATGAGTCGCTCCCCTGTGCCGATCCGCCCCATGCCGTTGCCCCCAAGGCCTCCAGGGCCCGCTCCCAGCGGTCGGCCCGCGAGCAGGCGACGATCGCGGCGCCGTAGCTGACGGCGTTGGGCGCCACCTGAGCGGCGAAAACAACGACGGAAGTGACGGCCACTGAGACGAAGCCACGAAGAGGATAACATCATCGGATATCAAGATAGATCGAGAATCTCTGAGGTCCGGCGCCGCTGGAGGATGTCTCGGGCGCCTCGGCCATCTCAGAGAGTTCCAGAACGCTCTGAGAGCGCCCCGGAGCGCCTTGGAACGGATTTATCATCGTCCTAAGCCCCGTCCGACAATGACCGGAACATTGCCCGAAACTCCATTCGCGTGTGCCCGAAATCGGCGCTCGTTGCTTTACGAACACGCCCAAGTGTGACCGATCATCTCAGTTCGAAACCAATCGAAGATGCACCGTGTGTAAGAAGCCAATCATTCTCGCGGGCGCTCAAACCTGGACTAGCGACCCATTGATTTGGCGCACGGTCGCCAAGTCCATGGATCGGGGGAGGTGCCCTCCCCCAAATGCGGCCGATGCCGCTTCGTTCGGCGGCGGAAAACCGCGATTTCCCACGGAAACGAGACCCGTCGCTAATCCAGGCCCCCTGGATCCATGTTCACGATCGCCTGACCTTCTTGCCCTGCTTCTGGAGCCCCTGGGTCGGGGGGCGCGCGGGCCCGTGGGTCAGCCGAGGCCACGCGGCAGGCCCCAGCCAGCCGCGCCAAGAGATCCCCGGGGCCTGGCCAGCGGGAGGACGGCAGGCGGGGGGGTCGGCCCAACGTGGCCCCCAAGCCGTGCCCCCTCGACCGGGGGAAGAGCACAGCAGGCAAACGGTCGGACCGAGGTGGAAGAGCGAGGCCGGTTGGAGGAGGGTGTGCTCCTGCTCGTCGCGCTCGTTGGGTCTTCTTGTGCATCCTGGGGTGCTTTGGCTGGCGGAGGGCCTCATGTGCTCGAAGGATGTTTTTCTGTCCCAGGCCCAGCCCTACGTGTGTAAACTCTCGGAGGTCCGCGCGGATTTACTGTATCGGCGCTGGGCACCCCCTCCCTGGCGCGCGGAGCGCGCCAGGGGCTGCGCAGGAGGCGCCGCCAGGGGGGTCCAGCGATCCAAAGAAATCACGCGGACTATTGCAGTTTGTGCTCTTACCGATTTTCGCTCTTCGACACGCGGCTCCAAACCAGCACCGCCCTCCCCCCATCGATGGAGGGATGGAGGCGGGCCCATGCATGGCTCGGGGATGAGGGGCGACGATAGGGGGGAACTGGCATGGGGGGGATGCATCGACCTGGAACCGGCGACACGTCGCCGACAGATCGGCGATAGGCCTGCGATCGTGAACCCGCACCTTCCTGGGCAGGTTGGGGCTATCGGGCCCCTATCGGTGATCAATGGGCGATTGGGGGTCCCTGTGCCCATCCCCAGACCCCCGACGTAACTAATATATCTTTCTTTACGTCGACCCCCAGAGGTCCCGACCCTTTCCCCATAACCGGCTTTGCATCCTGAGTCCTTTTTTGACGCCCACGAGGCCCGGGAAGGACCCCCGGAGGCCGAAGATTAAGAAAAATCTCCTGTCATGATTTTTTCATTACTCGAGGGGTCCTGGTCCCCCACACCCCCTGTCGCTGCCCGTCCAAGGAAAACTCGGGAGACCTCCCCTGTCAACGGAGCCGGAGGGCCACCCTGTCGCGATCCATGCTGCCCAGCAGGTGCAGCGCCTCGCGCCACCGCCTGCCCCTCTTGGGGAGAGCAACAAGGCTGCCGTGAGCGCAAGGCTTCGGTCGGGCGTGTCCTCCTACAGGGGGACTATGGACAGGAAATAAAATAAAAAACAACAAAATACAACAACAACACAAAACTATCAAACAATGATTCCCAGACTAGGTTTTGGATTATTCGTTGATATCCCTGCTGTAGAGGGACGCGCCCGATTCACCACTGGCCTCCGGAGGTCCGCCGGCGTCGCTCAAGGTCGGAGCGCGCCAGAGGCGGCTCCAGAATCGCCGCCAGGTCGGAGGCGGCCAAGGAATCTGAGCTGACTGGGACCCCGGACATCGGCCAGGAGGGGGGGTGAGGCCGAATCTGCTCAAAATCTGTCCCGGGACCCCTCCCGGGGGCCCTTAGGACAAATGTTTCACTATGGATTCGTTTTTGACGGTTCTGGGGGCCGTCTCTGGCCCCCAAATATTTAAAAAGTGAGAAAACCTCTGGAAACACCCCGCACCTCTCATGCTCGCCCTTGTGGCTGGCCGGAACCAATGCTGGGCCATACGTCAGACCTGGCTCCAACTCAACGCCCCCAGAAACCTCAGACCGCGCGGACCTCCGAAAGAACATGGAGAGGGCTAAAACCCACCCCCTCCCCCCGTCCCGACCCCTTGGATCGCCGGTTCGGGGGTGGCTCTCGGAGCTGCAGGTGGAGGTGGGTTTTCGCCTCTTGACTCCGTCAGCTTTCTGCGCCTCGACCTCTCGCACGCGCTGATCGCCGCCCCGTAGCTCACGACATTCGGCCTCTGCGCAGGCACGCGTGCACCCCGCCCCTGCAGGTCAGGTTCCCCAGACACGGGCCGGGGGCGCGGAATCCGAAGGATGCCCGCGGCCGAGTGAGCCCCGGCGTGGCAGAAACCCCGGCGCTGAATGCACCAGCAGGGGTGCGGCCGGCTCGTCCCATGTTGACCTGCGCGCTGGTCTCTGACATCACGCGTGGATCGCTCAGCCTTCACTGCGGGCACTACTTCTGCCTATATCCACTGCAGTATGGAGTATGGAGTTTCGGGCTCCCTTCCCCAGAAACCCGAGGCGCACTGGACATGGAGACAAATTTGCCCCTTGGAAGCTCGCTTCCTATCCATATCCAGTGCGCCTCGGCCTCGCGGCGCCCCTTCCAAAAAGTAAAAGACGCACTGGATATGGATATGATCCTTGCCCGAACGCTCAAACCCCCGACGTAATTTCCTTGCCATCACGTCGACCCCCAGAGGTCCCGACCCTCTCCCCATGACCAACTTTGCATCCTGCATCGTTGTTTGACGCTACCGGGGCCCGGTGAGGGCCCCCGGAAGCCGAAAATTCAGAAGAACCTTCCGTCATGACTTTTTCATTACTCGAGGGGCCCTGGACGCTCAGCCTTCACCAGTCGCGGCGGCAGCGCGCACCGTTCCGTGTGGGCCGACCCCGGGGCCCGCGCGCGGCATTCCGCCTTGAGCTCGCCAGCGCCGAGCTTTGCCGCCACGCCCGCACGACGCGGAGCCCCACCCACGCCGACAGGAATCTCGCAGTCCGCGGGCCCCAAAGGTCCCGACGACTTCCCCAGGGGCAGAGGTCTAGGTCGGGCGTGTCCTCCTGCAGGCGGATCTTGGATGACAAAGCAACACTTGACAGGACATGCTCGACCATAGTCAGAATAGTAGAAACATCGTCCTCCGACTATTTTGTGTTTGATAACTTTGGAACATTCCTCCTGTAGAGGGACGTGCCCGACTGAAGCAGAGGTTCGCCCCGCATCCACTCTGCACGACCCCGGGCACCCGAGGCGGCCCCCGAGAGCCGAAGTCGAGGCACAACCCCCAGCTGGAAAGCTTGTTCCGTCGGCGGCGAGGCAGAGTGGCCGCGCCAACGACACGGAGCTACACGGGGGCGCCGAAGAGCGAGCTGACAACCGCGCAGGAGAGAAGGGAGAGAGGACGGGCAGGGCGGCCGCGCTGGGGGAAGAGGCGGGGCCACTCAGAGGCGGAAGACTTCCGTCCCGATTGTGCGCCCGTTGAACAATCAACCTGGCGAAGAACCCAACCATGTGCAGTAGTGAGTACCGCAGATGTGGGCATCGTCTTCCGTGGAGCTCCCTTTCGGGCCACAAAGCGCAGTACTAAGCGGGGGAATCGCATGCGAACTGCGCCACTGGGACCTTCCATGGAGCTCCCTGTGGGGCCACAAAGCGCTGTACTGGGCGGGGGAACCACATGCGGACTGCGCCACTGGGACCTTCGGTGGAACTCGCTCAGGGGCCTCGAAACGTGTGAGGGGTGTGCTAAAGTCGGGGGCTGACGGGAGGAGGGATGAGGGGGAGGAGGAAGGAAGGAGGAACGCGGGACGCTGTCTCTTCAAAACGAGGACCCAACACCACAGGATGGCTGGGAAACAACTTGTTCTGTCGGCGGCGAGGCAGAGTGGCCGCGCCAGCGGCATAGAGCTACACGGGGGCACCGAACAGCGAACTGGCCAGCGTGCAGGAGAAGGGAGAGGAAGGACAAGGCGGCCGCGGAGGGGGGAAGAGGCGGGGCCACTCAGCGGCGGAAGACTTCCGTCCGTAGCGTTTTGTCGGACATGTGCCACTTCGAGGCGACACAGCACTCACGAACATACACAAACATACCAAAACGTGCTCATGAGATCGTCGTCCCCAGTCTACTGTTTGACATTTTTGGAGCATTCCTCCTGCAGGGGACAGGCCCGACTTTAACCTCAGCGTGCCCCCGCTGCACAACAAAAAAAAACGTGCAGCCCTGCGGCCGGGGGGCCACTTACACCTCCGCACAGCTCACGACGGGGAGCCACGCTGCACGGCCACGGCGGGCCACCGACGCCGGGGGCCCGGGCCCTCCCTCCCCGCGGCGCAGGCAGACGCGGGAGCCGCGACGTCCAAAACCGTCGTGTCGAGACTGCTCGATCTCATCAGAGGGGCCAGGGGCGCACACAGGAAAAACACCGGTCCCAGGACTCCCCATGGTCCCGCATGGTTTCCACGTTTTCGTCGTCCCCCCTGCTTCCCATGGTTTCCCACATATTATTCGGGATCGACGATTACTTGTGTCTGTATGTTCTCTTCCCCTCCTTGCTTCTCTGTTCGCGCGTCACTTAACATGTCTATTCCGAACCCTTGGTGCCCGCCATCTTCGTCTTCGATCGTGCAGCCCCTGGGGGTACGTCTTCCTCACCTGCCACGCGTACTTGACGCGGCCACTAAGACAGGAGAAGGGAAGAAGGGAGGGGAAGGGAGAAGGATGGAGGACGAGAGAGCCTATCGAGAGAGGGGTTAGGAGCAGGAAAACAAGCGGCAGAACCAGACGAGCAGGTCGGGCGGGCTGACCCTTCTGGTCGGGCCGCGCGGGCCGGCCCAGACGGCCGAGTCGAGCGGGCGGGTCGCTGAAGCATCAGTCATGCATGGATCGCGCGGACGTCTCGTGCGACAGCGTGAGTGTCACGTAAACCATGAGGAAGACCAAAGCGAAAGCGCAATTCCTGAGGGTCGGGGGCGCGGCGTCTAGAATCAATTGCGAGGATGTCCCACGCAAGAGCGCGACTCCTGCACAAACCGTAGAAAAATCCAGCGCGCGAGCGCGATTCTGAATACATAATTAACGAATTATCAAGCGGGAGCTGTACGTAGTTCGGGGTCCAAAGCCCATTCTGAAACGCACGCTTTCCCCTTGTACCCAGAAACCGGTGTGCGATCCCCCGGAGGAGAAATTCAATTGAAAAACACCACGGTCACGTGCATCGGGGTGTGAGCAAAACACAACTCAGTCTCTACAAAACAAAACTTCCAAGAAAGCTGTATATGGGGAGGCAGAAAGGTACCCATACCGCGACACGCGACCTCGCAGGACCCCCTCAGACCTGCTCGAGGCCGAAGCCTCGGCCCTCGCCCCCCTTGCCTGCTCGTAGGGGCCTAGGGGCACACAAGTGGATAGACACAAATCCCCAAGGTACCCCGCATTGTTTCGTGAAGTATGTTTTGGAATTCCGTCTGCCCCCCCCACTTCCAATATTTTCCTGTGTTTTTCAGGGGATCGCGGATTGATTGTGCCTGTGTTTCTTCCCCTCCTCGTGCTGGGCCATCTCAAATCCCCAGCCATTCCAACCGGAAGCGCCGCAAAACGAGTCATGCTCCCGCTTCCGGAGCGCCCAAAAGCGGGGCGTCCAAGACAGGGGGCGTGCAAGAAGGGGGGGCGTCGAAAAAGGCGCTGCATTTTCTGGAGCGCCTCACTGAAGGGGCCCTGGGACACACAAATGAATACACACACAAATAACAGGATTCCCCATATTTTCCCATATGTTCTGGGTCTCTGTCTTCCCCCCCACTTCCCATATTTTCCGACATTATTCATGGGAATCGACGATGAATTGTGTCTGTGTGTGTTTTCCCCCTCCTGACTCACATCAAACCAGATCACCGATGCATCAGCAATGCGGCGCCGTCCTCCGACCCCACCTTCGGCGGCGAGCGGGGTTGGGAAGTGAAAAGGAGAAGGCCTTCTCAGGAGGCGGCGGGGATTATCAGAAGCCCCAGCGCCTTTTGAAAGGTTTTCTGCGTCTTCGGGGAAGGCTTAGAACACTTCACAGAAGGTCGGGGGCAGCCCGAGCCTTCTGACAACAACAGGCCCGTCCAATTCGCCCTTCTCCCCCCCCAGCTCGCCAGAAGAAGAGGAGGAAGAGGAGGAGGAAAGGGGGAGGAGGAGGAAGAGGAGGAGGAGGAGGAGGAGGATGAGGTGGAGGAGGAGGGGGATGATGATGATGATGATGATGATGATGATGAGGAGGAGGAGGAGGAGGAGGAGGAGGAGGAGGAGGAGGAGGAGGAGGAGTGAACGTACCATATGATGAGGAGGAGGAGGAGGAGGAGGAGGAGGGGGGGGGAGGAGGAGAGGCTTACGCCATCCCGCCGACCCCCAGACGAGGGATGAAACCAACGAGGCGCCCGCTCGCCAACAGCTGCTCGGACCCCGCTGGCGAGAGGTTCGGCCGTGAGGGCCGCGCGGGGCTGCCCCCAGGGGGCCTCACGCCCGCGCCGCGCATCGTGCCGAGGAGCCGCAGCGACTGCGCCCAGCGCCGCCCCTCCGCGCACGCGGAGATGGCCGCGCTGTAGGCCACCACGTCGGGCGGCACGAGCTCCTGCCGGAGGCGGGTGGGGGGACTGCCGGGCGCGAGCTCAACGCTGGAGAGCAGCATCTATCTGCTTCAACATTCCTACAAACATTTGTCTACAATTGTAGATGTACACAGATCCGCGTCAACCGTTTCATTTTTGTAGATGGGTATAACTAGATACATGTACAGACCTGTATACAGACATATATATATGTATAAACCAGGACAGGTGTTTGGAACTCGAGTGGGGACCGAACGGGTGCACACGAACAGCGAACGAAGCCAGGGGGGCCGGGGAGGACGCCACGGGCGGAGAGGGGCGGCGCCGGCGGGCGGGTCGGGAACGAGCGCCCCCAGAGGGCTCCGAGGGGGCCTTTTCCTGAGCATGTTCTTAGGGTGGAGGGCTCAGGGTGGAATCCATAGGGGCTGGTGCACCTCGAACATCAATCCGTCTTGTGATTCACTTCTTGCAGGCTCAAGCCTCGAACATCCATCGAGACGGCATTTCGGATTTCACCCCTTGCCCTCAACCCCCAAGAGATGCTCTGCTTTTTGGAGCGGATGTGGGCACGGCGAAGAGCTGCCGTTGTCTCAGGTCGGGCATGTCCTCTTACAGACAGGCGGATTTTGGAGGACACATACAAACATATTAAACAAAATGTTCAAAACACATAGTCAACAAAATGTTCAAAAAGACCCCCAAAAATAGTCGAAACATTGTCGCCAGACAATTCTTCTACTATTTTTGAATATTTCTTCTGCAGAGGGACGCGCCCAACTTAACCGTTGTCTCAACTTGCCTTGTTCCGAGGGCCGCAACATCGTACTGGATCGCAGCAGCATCGGCGATGCACCAGCGACGTCGGGACAGAGCATAGAACCTTGGACTCCTCCCCCTCCTCTCCTCCTCCTCCTTCTCTCCTCCTCCTCCTCCTCCTCCTCCTAATCCTCCTCCTCCTCTTCCTCCTTCTCCTCCTCCTCCTCCTCCTCTTCCTCCTTCTCCTCCTCCTCCTCCTCTTCCTCCTTCTCCTCCTCCTCCTCCTCCTCCCCCTCTTCCCCCTCCTTCCCCTCCACCCCCTCCTCCCCTTTCCTCCTCTTCCTCCTCCAACACCTCCTCCTCCTCCTCCTCCTCCTCCTTCTGACGAGGTGTCACGCGCCACGGCCTCCCGTGCCACCGCGAGAACAGTCGCCACCCAGCATGCTGGGCTGGCACGGTGCCCAGACCTGCTTCCAGCAGCCTGATTCAGAACAGCGGGACGACGTACTAGTACTAGATGTTCTCTTTGGAGGCGCGCGTCATATCCGAACATATAATTAGAATACCCATCTTGTAGTAGATCGGTTCCCGAGGGGTGTGGCCAGAAAGCGCCCGCCACGACGCATAAACTAGAAGATTTATGGGTGCGCGCACACATTGTACTAGTAACTATGTTGGGGTGACGCCGAAGCAAGGCGACTTGAGTCAAGGGTAGCTCAAAATAAGTCCTCGGAACACTCCCTGCAGGGTCCGAACGCACAAATTGTCAGAGCTCCGTCCAGCCGTGGCGATGAGACTCCCCCCGCAGGCCATCTACCGTTCTCTACTCACCCTCTTCTGATAGATAGTACGGTTCCTCGCTATGCTCGCCTCTACTGGTTGCGTGATAATCGACACCCCAACAGAAACTATGACTGCCCATGTTGGACATCACTTGGCAACTCTCTGTTGCTAAGTGTTGATCGTACGCAACGTCTACATCGTAGAGCGGGTGGGTAAGCTCAAACATTGGCATGCAACTCATTGACACGAGCGCTGCCCCGATTTTTGGCCGCAGAGATCTCCGCGGCGACCTCCAAAACCGTCCGAGATGCCTGGTTCGGTGTCGGAGATAACGAAAGGTGCTGTCCCAGACATGCGACCACCTGATTTGGTCAATACGCGGTCCACCGGAGCCCTGAGCCATCTCTCGGGGCCCTCTTTTGACGGCCCTGGGGCCCGGCGAGACCCCCCCCCCAAGGCCGAGATTAGCAAACAAAAAACCGGCCGTCCTGGTTTCTCACAGCGAGACCACGTCTGCAAACAGAAACGAAAGCACCCCTGACCCTTTGGGAGGGGACCTACGTTAGGAGTGCCAAAAGCATGGGGGATAGGCGGGATAGGGGATCTGTTTCTGCAGATGTATCGAACCACACCGCCCAAACTTCCAATCCTTGCTGCTGAGAGGCGGGGACCTCCGTGAGGCCAGGCCTCCATCGTGAAATCAGGGTCAGGAGTTCCTTTCTCATCGGTGAGTCTGGGATGCGATCCAGATGGGGTCCGAGTACACGGGGTCGGATGGTCGCGCCGCATCGCCGACACATCGAAGATTTATCGGCGATGCATCGGCGATGCACCAGCGATGCAACGGCGACGTCGGCGATGTCGGCGACGTCGACGTGAAGCAAGTCGGGCTCCACACCGAGCCGTATCGGCGATGCATCTGCGATGCATCGGCGATATGCGGCGCGATCCTCCGACCCCACCCACTCCGGCCCCGTCTGGGAGGCCGGAGTGGGACTCGATCACGTCTGGGATTCGATCCTGGTCCATCTTCTCGAGCAGCCACTCGGCCCACCTCGGCTGCCTGCCGAGGCGGCAGGCGGAGATCGCCGCGCTGTAGGCCACGACGTCGGGCACGGCCCCCTCGCGCGGCATGGCGGCCAGCAGCGCCAGCGACCGCTCCCAGTCCTGAAGGCAGGGCAGGCAAAACGAGACGACGACAAGGCAACTGACGGGTTCGAGGTGTAGGTTTAGGTCGGGCATGTTCCCCACAGGCGGACTTTTTGGGGACTAATAACATAGACAAAAAACAATACTCAGAAGCTCATCGAAAAATCGTACCTAAACTTAAGTCGTGCCCGACTTGAGTTTAGGTTCGAGGTTTGAGGCTTTCGGTTTCGAGGTGCGCGGCTAGAAATGTTCGGCCGTTTTTGTAGTTGATGGGCGGCTCTCCAGCCTCGGGATGCCTTCTGGCGACCGCGCCTCGCCGCGGTGCTCGGGTCGCCCCGACCGGCAGCAGGAGAGCCGAGCTATGACCCACAAGCCGAGGGGCAACGACTGAACACATCCACGCGTGGGTCAACAGCGAACGAACGTGAGCGCCAACGCGTTCGGGTAGACGGCTGGCCACGCTGCAACTACACTCGACCATGATGATAAGGACGCGCGGTAAAGATGCAAGGGCCTGGGAACGCCGTGTTGACGTTTTCCGTGCAGAGCGCAGCCGCATGCCGACGGATGCCGATCACCGAATGGGCAAGGGTGCAAGGGTAGCCTTGGACAGTTGCCCCATCCTTGCTATCATGGTCGACTGTCCCAGAAATCCGATGTCGTGATTTTTTTAATGCGGGGTCCCCAAAAGTCTCGACCCATTCCCCAGGACCGGCTTTCCATCCTGAGTCGTTTTTTGACGGTCCCGAGGCCCAGTAAGGGCTCCTAGAGGCCGAAAGCTGTAAACAACCTCCGCCATGACTTGTTCAATACGTTGGATCTCTGGGGTAGAGAAGGAGGAAGCGACAGATCGTTTCTTAACACGCCTGATCTTTGATCGTTGGATCTCTGCTTTTGATCACAGACGGTTTTTTGTTGATACTGGTTTTGATCACAGATCCTTGATCGTCGTATCTCTTTTTTTTTCAAAACGTTGGGTCTCTGATGTTTTCACACAGTGACGCCGTCCCTGTGGTGGGCTGCGTTAGTAACCACCACGACGCCCTTACATCTTGACCGGGGGCCTGCGAGTCTTCCGATTGCTGCTCGCAAAACCACATGCGTCCATGTTACGTCATCGCCCCCGTTGTAGCAATCCTGATGTACTTATGCCCCGCATTCCGCAAGGCTTGGGTACGTCGCCAGGGTAAAATTCACACGAATGCGCCTCAGGGAAACGAGGAGGGCGGCCGCGGAGGCAGCACGTGCGCGGAGGCGCCGCGAGCCTTCGCCACGCCGAGGAGCGCGCAGGCGGCCGAGGGCACCGGAGACCGGCGTTGACCGAGCCACTCGGGTCGTGGCGATGATGGGATCTGGCCTGGACCCCGCTGGCCGATTTACCCCCCTAGATTTCAATCGGGCGTGCTAAAAAAATACGCCACGATGAGAAACAAATACAAAAAATAGTAAGCCAGACTATGTTTTACTATTTTTGAATATTCCCCCTGTAGAGGGACAGGCCCGACTTAAGCCTAGACCCCGCTGGCCGATTTACCCCCTAGATGGGGATATAGGTCGTTCCCTTCGAGTTTCGAGGGGTGTATCCCCAACTGGGGTGGTAATTTGGTGGGGGTCTCAAGGAGAATAAAGGTCGGGATGGGGATTGGATAAACGGTACTGGGGTAATGATAGGACCTGGGATTTGGCAAGACGGCCCCGGACTTAGAACATCCGTTGAATTTCGTAAACTGGTTCTTGCGTTTACTAAATGATGTCTTGTCTTGATTTGATTAGGCCGCGCAATGTGAGAGATCCGCTTCTCGCTTTAGTAAATCATCGCCTGTTCTTCATCCAATTGCTTTAATAATGCGCTTTCATTCATTTCCATGACCTACGTAAGCCGGTGAGGTGTACCACAAACTGTGCGATTAAACCAAACTGCCGAAGAGCGGGGGCAGCTCCGGGATCAACCAAAGAGGTAAGCCATCATACGCTATGCTCTGTTAGGAATGATAACACAGGGGAGCTGCAAACATAAACAACATAATTAATACCTCTGGACGCAGATCCGACCGTATGAAGACAAACTGTTGCAGGTCCGTGCGGATTCCTTGGATCAGAGCTGGGCCCCCTGGCGGCGCCTCCAAGGGCGGCACCGAAAGGCGCCGCCAAGGACGGGCCAATGCCGATCTGAGAAACCCGCGCGGGGCTCGAGAACTTTCAACATTACGTCGATTTTCTTTGATAGGAAACAAACAATTTCTACCGCTGGGGAGAGGTGTGTTTGAAAAAGGGAGGGGTCATGACATGACGACGACGCCCACGAGCAGGCGCGGAAGCCACTGTGCAGTCGATCCTATCAGAAGGACTCGCGATAAAGACGCAAGGGCCTTGGAAGGCCATGTTGACACTTTGCGAGCGGGGCGCGGCCAACGAAAGCGGATGGGCCAAGGAGGCAAGTTAGGAGGCAACTACTGAGAGGGCTTCGTCGGAAGGACCAAGGAAGACAACCCCCCTGGATTAAACCAGATTAAGCGGGATTCAGCGTGACTAAGCCGAATCAAACTACATCAAGCCAGACTAAGCCGGATCTCGCACCATGGGAAATCAGAACTTGACCCCCAGGAGTTGCATCCAAAGGCAACGATGCCAAGGGTACCCTTGGGAATGCTGCCCATCCTTGCCATGCGGGTTGACTGCACTTCTCATCGCCCAGGGCGCTGCTGCGTCACGGGCTTCCTGGATGTGTTCTCCACCGCCCGCCCACAGTCACTACACCCATCCTGGCCGCCCTGCGGCTCCGTGCTGGGCCCATGTTCGGGTGTCTACGCCCGCTGGGCCGTCCAATGGGGCCACCCCCGCTGCAGCAGCCGTGCGGCACAGGCTCCGACAGGGCTCTGGGAAACGAGCCCGCTGGACGGCCGCATGTCGAGGGCGGCCAAGGGGGGGGCGTCCAGGATGGGAGGGCGCAAATCATGGCCGGCGGCACGTGCGCGGCCCAGGGGGGGCCAGGGACGCATTGAGACAAGAAGAAGCGCCATGACATCTGGGGAGATGTCACTGCCTGGGCCATGATATTCGCTCCCCCGATTGGCGGCGCGCACAAGGTGGCGGCTGCTTCTTAGAAGGCGCGGGCCCTACATCTACACGCGAGGCCCACGCCTTCTAAGCAGCAGGGGTGCTTGTAAGAAGCCTCCCCCCCCGACCCCCCTCTGCGCGTGGCCGACCCCTCCTGACCGCCCCCGAGGATGGGATCACCTCGAGTCTTGTAGATGCCACGACACTGGACACTTCAAACATACGGAATATGTGTTCGAAATGGTTGAAACATGTTCTAAACATGTGTTGAACATGTTAAAGACATGTTTGTTAAACATAATTTTTATACATCTGGCAACTATTTGGCCACACGCTTCCTCTCCATTGATCGAGTTCCACAACTCTCGCGGGCGGCCTAGAGGGGGGCGTCCAAGCGGGGGGGTGCAAATCATGGCTGGCGGCATGTGCGCGTCCCGGAGGGGGGGGGCCAGGAGCGCAATGAAAGAAGAAGAGGCGCCATGAGATCTGAGGAAATATCATGGCCCACCCCATGATATCCACCCCCCTACTCTTCAACCCCCTCTTGGCCGCCCCCGATACTCGAGTCCGCTCGACGGCCGAACGGGCTGCCGACGCCGAGCGGGACCCCGTGCCCGGGGCAGGCCCGCCCCGGCTACTGGCAGCAATGCACGTGCACGACCTCCCCGCGGTTTGCATGAAAAGCGCGGCAAGCTCGTACCGCGACGACCGGCGCGTCGGTTCAGTCAGAGACGTGGCCCACACACCGGCGAGAACAACGCGCTCAACCTGAGCATTTTCTTAGGGTGGAGAGCTCAGGGTGGCATCGATCCGTCTCGTGCATCACCTTTTGCAACTTCAAGCCTGGAACATCCATCGAAACGGCATTTCAGATTTCACCCTTTGCCCGCCACCCAAAGAAAATTCTCGGTCCATGGAGGATGTCGCTGGCGTCTAGGCAGGCGGCAACAGCATGTGTCATCTGAGATGTGGCCCGCGCACAAGCCGGAGCATTGTTCCGAGACGAGCGTGTCGCCAAAATGAAATCCACGTTGGGGGGGGGGTATATGGCGTTGGAACTGCAGGTTCCTGGCCAGTGGCGGCGTTCCACCTTGAATAAGCTCGCGCTGGGGTCGGCGCCGCGTCGACACGGCACGGACCTGCCGTATGCATCGAGGTCGGCCTAGAGGGGAGCGTCCACGAGAGGGGGGCGCAAATCATGGCCAGCGGCATGTGCGCGGCCCCGCGGTGGGCCAGGGAACGCATTGGAATACGAAGAGGGGCCATGAAATCTGGGGAGATAGCATGGCCCCCGACATGATATCCACCCCCCCCGAATCCTCCTCCCCTCTTGGCCACCCCCGAATGCAGGACTGCCCACCGGACTCATAATGGAACCAGGTCCGGACTGGCCATAGCAAAGGGGTCCCCCGAGGTCCCTCGGAGGCCTCTGGAGCCACCCCCCGTGGAAGGGCCAGGAACATCCAGATCGAGTCGATTCTCGACACACCAAGCTGAGGTCGGGCATGTCCTCCGACAGGCGGATTTTGGAGGAAGGATTAAAAATAGCAACAAACATTTCGAGATAGTCAAAACAGCACTCCTTCACCCCAGGCTCGACACTGCGCATCCCCAGCCGAAAATGCTCATTCTCGTCGTCCTCCTCCTCCTCCTCCTCCTCCTCCTCCTCCTCATCCCCCTCCTCCTCCTCCTCCTCCGCCTCCTCCTCCTCGTGCTCCTCTTCCTCCTCCTCGGCTGGCCACGGAGGCGCGTGCGGTTCTCGGCGAAGCAAGCCCGGAGAGAGCTGTCCCCGGCGGCGGCGCACGCGCTGATGGCGGCGCTGAGGCTGGCCGCGCTGGGCGCCAGGCCGTCGCGCCGCATCTCCCTCGCAGAGGAGCCTCCCAAAACAAAAAACGGCGGTGGACAAACCTCCCTTGAAAAACCTCCCTTTAATGAAAACGGCCTGGGACCGAAACCGACGGGCCTGGACCCGCAAAAATGACGGCCACGACGCCCTCTCGCGAACCGAAAACGGCCAATTCACTAATCGACGTGTCAGGGTAGGAGGTCTGTCCACCCCGGAAAAAGGGGCTCGAGCAGGTGGGGCTTGACCTAAGTCGGGCCTATCTTCCTGCAAGGGGATCTTGGACGACAGCTAGAAAATAGTCAAACGATATCCCCAAATGACAGACAAATGCTCAAACAATCGGCCCGAGACTATTTTTTACTATCGTGGAAAATTCATGCTGTAGAGGGACAGGCCCGACATAAGGCTTGACTAGAATTGAGGCCAGTCCACAAGAAACCTCCCACAAGAAACCCAACCCTGAGACCCCAGGACGTCCACTGATCTTTCGTGCTGGGAAGTCACGGTGTCCATAGCAAAACCATGGAAGCCCAAGGAATGCAGAACACCGTGTAGGCAAGCAGGGTGTTTCTTGGCATGGGTCCCCACTGGACCTACCAGGCCACCCCAACCCTGCCCGAGGGCCCGAATTTCGGGCTGGGGGGGGGGGTACAGGCTCCAAATCTGTTCTTTCAGAGTTCTCCGACCCCCTCCCTCCCGCTGGGCATGGAGGGCAAATTCGAGCCTTCAGGTTGGGTTGGGATGGTTTGGTGGGTGGTGAGGGCTGGAGGATCGCACATGCACCTCGGATGCGTCACCCATGCTTCGGCGACCACGCACCGGCGGCGGCGGCGCGGAGGAGATCCGGCTCCACGCCGCGCCGCGTCGCGGGTGCCTCGGCGACGTGGCGCTGTCCTCCGACCCGATCTGCTCGGGCCCCGTTGGGGAGGCCCGGGCCTCAGCAGCCGCAGGGCCGCGAACGGCCGGCCGCCGCGACCACAGGCCCGGATGGCGGCGCAGTAGCAGGAGTCGTCAACACCTCGGCGGCAAGTCGAGGCCCTGACCCGCTCGCGTCGTGACAGGTTTGGACACCCGAAATGGGTACCGAAAGAATGGGTACAGTGCCCAACAGCAAATGTTGTCCCAAACCCAACAGCGGCCGCTGTTGGGCAGGCGGCCTTCTGTCTCGAATGGGCACAGGCCGCGGCGGCGCGGACAGCGAACCCCGTTCAGAATGAACAAGAACTGCTGTTAGGCATCGTACCCATTCTTTCCGTGCCCATTTCGGGCGTCCAGAACAAGCACATGACCCAGAGGAGAGGAAGGTACCGATACCGCTGCCCTCGCCTCGCTTGCGCTCCTGGGGGGCATCCTCTGAGGCCCTCGTCGCCACGGCTGGATTCGCCTCGAAAGTTTGGTCGGAGCGCACCCCGCGAAAGGTCCGGGGCGTAGCCGCATCGACGATGTCTGCGCACCTTCCCAATGACGGATGGTTTTAGTATTCGGCCTCTGGGGGACCTCACCGTCCTCGGCGAGCGAGGGGGGAAGTGATGAGGAGAAGGCCTGCTCAGCTGGCGGCGCGACTTCTCAGAAACCCTCGCGCCTTCTTAAATATTGTCCGTGCCTTCGGGGAAGGCTTTGAAAAATACTCGAACGGCCGGGGGACTTCCGAGCCTTCCGAGAACGCCTTCTCCTTCTCATCTTCACCTTGGGCTCCCCGCCGACACCGTGCCCTGGGACCGTCAAACAGCGACTCTTTGGAGTCCCGAAACGGTGCGGTGAGAGATCGTGCGGTGACATCGAAATCCCCCAAGACCTCACCGCACGGTCCGTCAGCGCACGGTGTTGGGACCTCGGATGCCCCAGTCGCCCGAGACGTCCTCGGAGAGCGACCCGAGTCCCAAAACCGTGCGGTGACCCCGAAGCCCCATCGACTCGCCGAACGGTGTGGCCACCGCCCCTCTTGAGGGCCCCCGAGGCTCGGGAGGAGAAGCCGCGGTGCCCCGGGAGGGGCGCAGGCCTCCAGGGAGCTCGGGGGCAGTCCGCGTCGAGGAACAAAAAGCATGACGTCGGCGTTCGGGGGCGAGAGGTGGCCACGAGGACGCGGGTCGAGGGCGCGGGTCATCGTCGTCGTCGTCGTCGTCGTCGTCGTCGTCGTGGCCGCCGTCGTCGTCGTCGTCGTCGTCGCCGAGAGGCCCATGGCCCATGGGGGGCGCACACCCCGGGCGGATTGGCGCGCCGGGGCGGCATACAGGCGGCCCAAGCACGAAGAGACGGACACTGCACCCCTCCAGGGGCCGGAGCCCTTGACAAGGTCACAGCTGCACGCATTAACAAGTTCACGGGTGCATGTATGCGCGTACCCACGAATGGCCTCAGCTCCAGCGCAGGGCTTACTCAACACAGTGAGTGAATGCCGCGATTTGCGTTGGCGTTCATCACAGAGCGTATTGTGAGGCCTTGATTCACTTACTGGGGTCCTCGGGCTTAGGGCCAGGTTGCGTGTTCAGTTTGGACGTGCTGGAAGCCTTGGACCTCTTGGGGCTGGAGGGGCCGTCGGGCGCTTCGGTTCTGGAACGTCTCAACTTTGTTCCACAAACGTACATGCATACATCCATACACCCGTCCTTTCCTACATCAATCCAACCATATATTCATCCATACACCTCATCATCTGGAATTGAAGGGAACCTTCATCCAAATACCTTCATCCAAACAACCGAGAATACACATGACCCACCCGTGAAATCATGTATCCGGGCATCCATCGGGAACAGTTCACCTCACAAACATCTCTGCACGACAAACCCATCCAGGCGTCCATGCATGCATGGATTGAGTCTTACACTTTTCAGGTGGGGAGCCACCCATAGGCCCCCCTAACCTGCCTTCAAAAGCCCGTAGGCCCCCAGTAGACACGAAGGCTGCCCATCCGCCCATTGTGGCACACCCCTCACGCACATCGCGCTCCACAGTGAGCACAACATGCTCCGCCCATTTCGGGACGCCCCTCACTCGAATCGTGCACCAGAAAGAGCTCCACCGATGGCGCCAATGGATACATTCGCATGGCGTCCCCCCGCCCATTTCGGCACGTGCCTCATATGGGTCGTTCCTCGCAGGGAGCTCCATCTGCGGCGTCAGCGCCATTCGCCGGGCTCATCATGATTTGAGTATCTACTGGCCTTGGGCTCATACCACCACCGTGCCTGAGTTGTGGGTCAGGGGCTTCTTGGACACGTACCTATTGGGGTCTCGTGTCATGCTTATCGGGAGTCTCTTGGAGCCAATTTTGAAGCCTCTGGGGGCCTCTGGGGGGCTGTTTTGGGGCTGCTTGAAGCCTCTTTTGGGCTTCTTGGGGGCCTGCTGGCGGTCTGGGGGGTCAACTTGGAGCGGAAGGCTCGAAATTCCAGTTGGCGTTCCCCTTGGTGGGACCTTTCTGGGCCATCCAATACCGTTTTGGGCGTCTCTTGCACCGCCCTGGGGCTCTTCTGGGCTGGTTTGGGGCTCTCTTAGGGGGCCTGTCGGGCCGCCTGGGGCCGACCTTGAGAGCCTCTGGGACCGTCTTGAACATTGTTTAAACCTGCAAAAACCGGTTCTGACTAAAGGTGGCGCCAGTGTGGCCATCGGGGGCCCTCTTGGGGAGGATCTCGGAGCCGCTCGGGGAGTCTTGGGGGCCTCTTGAAGGCTTTTCGGCTGTCTGGAAGCCATCTTGAGGCGTCCTGGGGCGCTGCTGGGCCGCTCTAGTCGCTGATTTGTCTTCCCAGGAAATGATTTGAACGGCGCGGGGGAAGCAAAGGGGACCCCCAAGGGGGTGCAGATTTCCAGTACCTAAAGGGGGGGGGAATCTGAAAGGGTGTGCCGTGCCAGCCTGGGGCCCGGGCCCCTGGTACCCCAGTACATGGTACTTGTGTTGTGCAATCGATGTTTTGTGCAGTCTATGTGGTTCTATGCAATCGACGTGCGATGTGGGGCAATCTCTTTGGAGCAATGTATGTTTTGTATGGCCGCGAGGCGGCGACGGATCGGCGACGGCGGCAACATAGCCGCCAGACCCGCAGACAGGCCCAGACGACGGGCGGCAACGAGGCGGCGACGGGGCGGCGACAGCGGCAACACGGCCGCCGGACCGGCAGACGGGCCCAGGTCCTCAGAGCAGAGAAATAGAACCCCCAAGTGCAGGCACCGTCTAAGAGAAACTCAGTCACCGTGCATCACATCCAGGACCGCCGAATCAGATAGTAATTGGCTTTTCTGGCTACGGCGAGCCTCGGCTCCGAATGTGTGCCCCGACCCAGATCTGAATTATCATGGGGGAATGGGGCGTGGGAAACGGGTCCTGGATCTTGGGGCCTTCCCCCAGGACAAACTCTTCAACCTGAGTCATTTTCTGACAACCCTGGGGCCCGTGGAGGGCCCCGAGAACGGCGAAAACCCTCCAGACACGTTTCCCTCAGGACCAGCTTCCCCCATGGCGAGCGACTGAAGTACGGCCTGAAAACTAGAACTCCCCTGCGATCCCGGCGTTGCGAACAAAAATACAGCATTGCCTTGCAAAAATCACGACTGGAGACCCTGGCCCCATCTGTCCGCGCCATGATATTTTTCGAGCCGCACCGACATGTGGGGCTCCTGGGGCCCGAAACGGGGCGAGAGCGCTCGTTGCGAAACCCTCGAAAAGGCCAGGATCCAGGGGCCCCGTGAGCCCGAAGTGGCCCACGGCTCCTGGCAACTTTTTGCGTCGGCGGCTAGGCAGGGGTCGTCTGCGCCGGCGGCAGAAGCTGGCGGAACGGGGGCACCGCTGTGGCGAAGTGGCCAGCACGCCACGGGAGGAGGGAGGGACGGAGCGGGCGGCCGCAGGGGAGGGTAAAACAACGGAGGGCGCGCTGAGGGAGGACGGATCCCCCAAGTCGGTTCCCGAAAACGCGGCCCGACGTCAGCCGGCGGCGCGAGAGCCCTGGCGCGGCGGCACGGCGACCCGCGCGGCGACCCGCGTGGCCGCCGCGGACAGCCAGGCGCTCGGGCTCCTTCGGAGGGCACGGGCCAGCCTGCGGGCAGGCCGGCGGGGGCCCACACGAGGCCCCCACGAGGCTCCCAAAAGAGGCCCCCAGGAGGCCTCGCTGAAACGTGCAAAACGATCTGAGATCCAGGGGCACCCGACTTCGCGCTATTAGCGCTTAGCGCGGAGCCCGGGGCGAGGATGACTTCGCGCAATCGCGCCGCCCCCGAGGGGGCATCAGAGGAGCCGAACTGCGAAGCGCTTCGCGCCCGATCGAGGGCGCCCTTGGAGAGCAGAGCCCCGTCGTCGTGATGTTTCCCCCACGTCGACCCGCAGAGGTCTCGACCCCTGCCCCGGGACCGGCTCTTCATCCCGAGCCGTCTGCTGACGCTCCCGGGGGCGCGTCGGGGCCCCCGGGCGGCCGAAAAAAGCGGAGAACCTCCCGTCGCGCCTCTCTTCCGAAGGGGCCCCAGGACACACAAACAACTACACACAAATAAAAGGACTCCCCATATTTTCCCATATCTTCTGGGCTTCTGTCTTCCCCCCCCGCTTCCCATATTTTCCCATTTCTTCCTGGGAGTCGAACATTGATTGTGCCTGTGTGTTTCTTTCCCTCCTGATCTTCGCGCAGCGCGAGGGGGACTGGGGAGCAGGGCCCCTCCTGGGCCCGCAGGGGGTGTGCTCGGGCTGCACGCCGCGGTTCCGCGTCGTGGCGGCCAAGGGCGGCCGCCGCTGACCGAGGAGAGGCCGCCGCCGACGAGGCCGCCGCCGGCGGGGCGGCGGCCGGCGAGGCCTGGCCCCGCGGGCCCTGCGCGCCGCATCGCGCCCACCTCGGGGTACCAACGGGCGTTGCTGCCGCTCGCGCTGTGGACAGACATCGAACCACGACGGGATTGGTTTCGCCACTGTCGGCCTCCAGGGGGCCCTTACCGGGCCTCGGGACCGCCCCCAAAAAGGTCTCAGGATGAAAAAGCGCGGCCCTGGGGAAAGGGGTGGAGACCTTTGGGGGTCAACGAGGTGGAAACTCACGACGTCGAAGTCTGGGACGTGCTCCTGGCCCAAGGTGCCCCCAGCTTTTCTCGCTCCACTTCGGAGCCCCCCGCGGCCCTCTGGGCCTCGTAAGGGGTGCGCTGGAGGCCGTCTGGGCTCTACCAGGTGGGGGGCACCTTGGGCCATCAGGCACTTCTAGCACGAGCATACTACTACAGTCGGACCTAGGCCAGCAGAGCATCCTGCGAAAACACGAGGCCCTCCGCCGGCCGAAATGAGGCGCGTTCGAGGGTACCCTCCCCCAGGATGCACAAGACCAACCAACGAACACGAAGAACATCAGGGCATCCTACCCGAACCGACCTCGATCTCATACCTCGGTCCGACGGTAAGCTTTCGAAGGTCCGCGCGGACTGCTCGGATCGGCGCCGCCTCCTCTCCTCTCGGGCCCCTTCTGTTTTCTCTTCCTGGCCCAATCCTTGGGCGCGAAAAGGTGAAACGGCATATCAACATAAACTATCGGGGGCGCGCAAACATGGATCAACGATCCATGGATTAGGCGCGCGGTCGCCAAATCCATGGATCGGGGGTGGTGCCCTCCCCACACTGCGGCCGGTGCCGCCTCGCTCGGCGGCGCAGATCCGCGATTTCCCATGGAAACGGGGCCCGTCGCTACTCCACGCCTCCTTGATCCATGCTTGCGATCACCTTGGTTGGTGATCCATCAAACTTTCAGACGGATCTCTTGGTTGTGCGGCCCGATCCCCCCTGGCGGCGCCTCAGGGGCGCCGCGCCCCTGGCGCGCTTCACGCGCCAAGGAGGGGGGTCCAGCGCCGATCCAGGAAATCCGCGCGGACCTCCGACACTTTATGGTGCACCCGTATTTCGGAAGAAGTGGGCAGAAACGTTGAAGGGTTCCTGGGACACAGAAATAAATAGACACAAATAACAGGATTCCTCACATTTTCAATATTTTCTGGGCTTTTGTCTTCCCTCGAACTTCCCATTGTTGCTCATATTTCTTGGAAATCGACGATTCGTTGCGTCTGTGTGATCTTTTTCCCTCCTGAAGCGTGAAGTAGGAAGGCGGATAAAATAGATTGGGCTCAGGCCCTCCCAAAGAGAGCAACAAGACGCAGCGAAGGCATCTCGATGCCTGAGGCAGAAGGGGCCTGAAGCAGATGCTGAGACCTCCGCCCGCCCCCTTGTGGAAGAGGGAAAAGGGAGACCGCTCGATCATGAATACAGGGAGGCGCCTAAAGTAGACTGGGACCTTGGAATCCAAAAATTCGCCGGCCCAACGGGCCAGGGCGTGCTAAGATCTCCGGTAACTGGTTAACAGTATTAACAGTATTTCTAGTTCGCGCGCGCGGGGCGGCCCCTGGGGGTCCCCCGGCGAAAAGTACCCCGACCAACGCCCGCCGCCCGACCGCCGCCCGACCGCCGCCCGACCAAGTCTACTCAGAGATGGTTTTCCTTCTGGGTGCGGCCTCTCAGGCTCCCCAGAGCGCGCTCAGAGTGCCCCAAGAGGCCCCCAAGACTGCCCAAGAGGCCCCCGAGACGCCCAAAGAGCGCTCGAAGACGCCGAAGATGACCCCAAGACGGCCCAAAAGGCCCCCAAGACAGCCCAAGAGGCCTCCAAGACGCCCCAAGAGCCTTCCAAGAGGCCTCCGAAGAGAGCCCCAAGAGGCCAAAATCGTTGATTTTCATTGGTTTTTTCTATGTTTTTTGTGTTCTGGCTTTTTCGGCTTCCGGACGCTCCAAGACGGCCCAAGAGGCCCCCAAGACCGCTCCAAGACGGCCCACGAAGCTCCCAAGACGGCGCCGAAACGACCCAAGAGAGCCCTCAAGACGGCCCAAGTGCCGCCCAAGACGGACCAAGAGGCCCCAAGACGGGCCCAAGAGGGACTCAGGAGGGATACCGAGAACTCAAAAATGGAGCCCTCCGTCCCAGAAGGCGCCCAGGAGGTCCCAAAGAGGCCCCAAGAGGCCTCCAAGAGGCCCCAAGATGTCGCCAAGAGGCCCCAGGAGACTCCCAGGAGGCCCAAAAGAAGCCCCAGAAGGCTTCAAACATGTCTCCCAGGCGCCCCCGAACGGCCTCTCAACAGACCCCAAGAGGCCCCCCAAAGAAGCATCTTGACGACGACTCTATTTCGCCCCATCGAGAGACGACCCCCAGGGAACTGCTTCACCATCAAAACTCCCCACGCAACGCGTCCGAACGACACCCGCCCCCAAGAGCGCAACATGGGCAACGAACACACAGACAAAAACCAGCGATGCCATATCACGGGCCGGCGGAATGAGCGAAGCGATTCAATAAGTAGCACCCCGAAGTTGCGGGGTGGGTCGCGGGGTGGGTCGCGGGGTGGGTCGCGGGTGGGTAGCGGGTGGGACGACGACAACAACAACAACAATAACAACGCAACAAGCATAATCCTGGTAACAGATACCCACTTCAGCCATGCACCCAGGGACAATGAATGACCGTTCGGCCCAGTCACTCTGATGGAGCACCCCGAAGTTGCGGATAAGAGTGAGGGGACGGGCGCAGTGTGGGTCGCGGGCGGGTCGGGGGCGAGTCGCGGGGACAGTCGCGGGTGGGTTGCGGGCGGCCGGGTCGCGGGCGGGACGACGACAGCAAGCAAAAACAACAACAGCAACAACAACGACAACAACAACACCAACAACAACACACACACACAACAACAACAACAACAACAACACCAACACCAACACCAACAACAACAACAACAACAACAACAACAACAACAACAATTACAACAACAACAACAACAACAACAACACCAACAACAACAACAACAACAACAACAATAACAGCAACACCAACAACAACACCACCACCAACACCAACAGCACCAACAACACCACTACCACCAAGAACACCAACACCACCAACATCAACAACGGCGGCAAAACCAACGGCATCGACAACGATAGTAACAATAACAACAATCGTATTTAAAACATGTTCGCTCTTACCTGCCCGCATGCCGTCCAAGACGTATATCCCAATTCCTCGGTACCCGCGCTCTTCGAGGGTATATCATCCCTACCTGCCGCGTGTGGAAGGCGCAGCCCCCAGAACAGTGGAAGAGAGGACGGATGGAAGGGGGGGACAAAGATGGACCACGAGAGAGATGATCAGGAGGGGAGCTAGGATCAGAAAGCGCGTGGCAGAACCCGACGGGCAGATCGAGCGGGTAGACCCTGATAGGCGGGTTGGGAAAGCGGGCCCAGGCGGCCAGATCGAGCAGGCGGGCTGTCGAAGCGTCAACATGAATCGCGAGGCAGTCTCGAGCGAGAGCGCGATTCCCAAGTTCATCGTGAGAAAGGGCAGAATGACAGCGTGATTCCGAAGGGTTGGAGGCGCGACGTTTGAATAAATTGCACGGGTGTCCCACGAGAGAGAGCGAATCCTACATGCAGTCTGAAGTACCTCGCGATAATGCGAATTTGAAACAAATTCTGAGCCCAGAGGAAGTACCAGGCGGGATCCGTTGTGGTTGTTGTTGTGGTTGTTGCAACTCGGGGTCCAGGGGGCAATTTGGTGACACTTCGCTTCCCCTCGTTGGGAAAAATCACGGTGCAAGCCCCGGGAAAAGCAATCTAAAGGAAAAACATGAAAGGGATACCTGAGTGGGGGATCAACACTGGCCAGTTCCTAGAGATGGCATTTCAACAATCGCAACAAATTCAATCACAACAACAACAACAACATCAACAACAACAACCGCAACAACGGAAATGACTACTGCAACAATAACACCAACAACAACCACAACAACAATAATCATGATCATAATTTTCAGACTGATCGCTCTTACCTTCCGGCGTGCCATTCAACACTCAATCGTGAGGGTATCTATCCTTCTTACCTGCAACATGTATTTCGTGCAGCCCCTTCAAACAGGGGAAAATAAAACGGATGGAAGGAAGGGTAAAAGCGGGAAGGCGGAGGGGATGGAACACGAGAGAGGGTAGCAAGAGAGGGGCTAGAAACAAAAAACACGTGTCAGAGCCAGACGGGCAGGTCGGGCGGGGGCAGATCGGATGGGTAGACCCTGCGCCAGGGGAAGGGAGGACGGGTGAGAAAAAAGAGAAGGGGGCTAGAAGCAGATGATCAGGACCAGACGGGCACATCGGGCGGATAGATCCTAACGGGCGGGCGGGGAAGGTGGGCTCAAGCGGCCAAGTCGACCAGGCGGGTTGCTGAAGCGTGCGTCCGTCCTGCATAGATCGCGAGGAACTCTCGAGCGATAGCGCGATTCCCAGAGACATCAAGAGGAAATCCACAGCAAGAGCGTGATTCCTGAGTTTCGTGGGCGCGGCGTCTAAACAAATTGCAATAGATCCAATTCGAGAGCGCGACTCCCGTGCAAACAGAGGGAACAAATTGTGAGGAAATATCAGGCGGGAGCCGATTTTGTTGTAAAACGGGGGCCAACAACTCAGTTGCCTCTCGTTTTCCCTTGTGCAAGCAAACGAGGTGCGAGCCCCGGGAGAAGCAATTTCCGGACAGGTGCCTTGGGGCCTGCTTAAACGGACTCGCAGTGGCAGGCCTGCCTCAGCACTATGACTGCACCGCTCAGCCATGCAGGCATGGCACTTCGACCCGTGGCTCTCGAGACATATTTTTCGTGCCAGGCTCGGCCGCGCGCTGCCGAAAGTCTCTCGGCAGCTTGCTTTCCACTTGCAGCCAGCCAACTCCAGTCGACGTTGAGTACGAACGCTCCGACATGCTCGCTGCTGCCAGGCATTGCCTTGGCTGGCTAGCGGCGAACGGGGTGTACCTCGACGCGTGGGGAATGCCACAGCCGGGGCCTGATGCGCAAACGGGTGCCCACGCATTTTCGATCAAACGCGCGGTAGCTGCAGGCGCAGCGCTGCGGCACGTCGTAAACGATGGATTCTCCGAGCGGCCGACGCCTTACTCTCGACAAGGGCGCCTGGGCAGCGGAAGCACTGGCTGTCCGGAGGTGGTCCAGAAAACGAGTCTGGACCTACAGCCAACGCCAGTGGGGATTTGACCCCCTGGTCCAGTTACCGCCGGCGTCTCCAGCTGCCGCTCTTCACCTTTGAATGCTTCTGCCAACAACGCACGCGTGCCAGAAGGGTCCGTGGCCACGCACTCGACGAGCTTAGAGATCACGCAATCTCTTGCGTCATCGGCGGAGCACACAACCGTCTGCAAAACAGACTCGAATCTGCGGCGTGCGTGCGTGCTCTCTTGCAGCCGGCCTTGCACCCACTGCCACCATGTGTGAGCCGCGCGTGGACGTCCAGCTCTGCGGCCACTGCTCGCTCCCCGGTGCCCACGGTGACTGCACAGTCCCCAACACACACAACCACCGCGAACATTTGGCGACCGCCAGTGCTGGCGCGTCCAGGGAGTCCGCTGCCGAGGCTGCCGACGCCGTGCGCTCTGCAGCTCCAGGCGGCGCCAGAGTGCAGGGCCTCGTCCTCGAATTCGGCGGACGGCATAGGCCGCAGCTGGCGTATCCGCCGATGCCACTGGCAAGCCCCGCGCAGCACCATAGCCATCTCCGTGACATTGGTTGTGCACGGCCGCCGCCCCGCGATCGGCGGCAACGGGCCGCTGGCCTCTTGAGGCGAATCACTGCGGTGCTCGTCTCCTACGCTACCGCGCCAACGTCCCAACTGTGGATCGCTGGTGCGTGTTTTTTTTTTGGCGCAGGAGATAACATCGAAGCTTGTCCGCGAAGGCGTTTCCACACAAACAACAACAACAACAACAACAACAACAACAACAACAACAATTACTAGCACGTGGGGACACTCCGTTCTCACCAGTGCCAGGGTTTTCATAGGATGCGGGCAATACCCCCACTTTGTGGGGGGGCCGGTTCAAGCTCTACCAAATTTCCAAACGACTCTTCGCCACCACCCACACCCAGCTTCCCGCCCTATGACGTTCGGACACTTCACTTCGTGGCATGCGGACGACCGTGGCTACTATTCAGGGCCCCGCGGCCGACGACGACGGCGTGCGCGCGCGAAGAAAAAACGAATGTGTCCCGCATGGTATTATTTGACAGGGATGATGGCCCTGGCAGGTGCGCAACCGTTGTTGCAGAAGTTCGAAAAAGTTGCTAGCAAAAGCCCGTTTGACAGAAATGTTTAAAAAGTGTTGGGTTTCCTACGAATCCGCAAGAGCGCGCGGGATGAAATTTTGACATTTTTTTGTTTGAAAAACCATTGGTGTTTTGATGTTTTTATGTTAAAAGCGTTACGAAACTAAGGTTTTGGAAGGATTTCGTCTTGCGCGCGCGAATGTCCACTTTACCTTATTTTTTGCAAGGGATTCTTGAAGTTTGATATGTTAGAACAAGAAATGTCCACTTTATTATTTTTTGCAAGGGAAAGCGGGCGTCAACAAAACAACCGGATCTGGATGACATCGTTTTACCTGAGGCTTCCTCACGAAAGTGATGAAAACGTGGCTGCGGCCTAGGCGCGGCGGGGGGGGCGTGCACCAGGGGGCCCAACAATAATTATTCTTTAGAAGTAATAATATTCAACAATCAGTTTAAGACTGATCGCTCTTATATGCGCGCGCGTCACTCAATATGTAAATCCCAAACCCTCGATACCCACCCTCTTCGTCTTCGGTCATACCCCTTTGGGGGTATATCTTTTTTACTCGCCACGTGTGGTTGGCGCAGCCCCTAGAACAGGAAGGGCAGGGGGAAGGAGGAAGGGAGAGCGAGGAGGAAAAGGGTGGGGGGAGGGAGGGAAGAGGGAAGGGGCAAGAGGGGGAGGATGGATGGAGGACGAAAGAGGTTAGCAGGAGGGGGGGGGCAAAAGAGGAGGTAAACAAACGGACGAACCAGACAGACGGGTCGAGCGGCGGACTCTGAGGGGCGGGTCGGGCGGGCGGGGCGGGCGGACGCCAACGGACGGGTCGGGCGGCGGACCCTCGCTGGCGGGTCGGGCGGGCGGTGGCTTAAAGCGGGCGGGCGAGATGCCAAGAGAGCGAACGGGCGGGCTGTAACAGGCGGATCGGGCGGGCGAAACCTGGCGGGCGGGTGACTAAAGGGTGAATCCTGAAGGGGATTATTTCTCTTTGGAAGGGCGGGCGGAGGGACGAGGGAGGAGGGAAGGGAGCAGGGAGGGACGAGGGAGGAGGGAAGATGCTAGGAGGGACGGGACGCGGAGGGGGGAGGACGATTTAGAGGGAGAGAGAGAGAGAGAGAGAGATAGGGAGAGAAAGAGAGAGGGGGGAGGAAGGGAGGGAGGAGGGAGTTTGGAGGAGGGACGAGGAAGGAGAGAGGAGAAACAGGAGGGAGGAGGGAGGAGGCAGGAGAGGGGAGGGAGGAGGCAGACGGGAGGACGGAGGAGGGAGGCAGGAGAGGGGAGGGAGAAGGGAGGAGGAGGGAGGGAGGGAGGGAGGAGGGGAGGGAGGAGGGAGGAGGGAGGAGGGAGGAGGGAGGAGGGAGGAGGGAGGAGGGAGGGAGGTGGGAGGCCGACCCGGGAAAGCCGCCCACGGACCGGCCGTGGAGAGACCGCGCAGGCTCCCGCAGTCTCGGGGGCGGAGGGCCCGCCCCCGAAACAGAGGAGGGAGAGTCCCAGGCGGGAGCGCCGATCCTGGATTACCGCAGATACGCTGCACACGTGTCCCTGGGCGGCTGGGCGGTGTCCTCGGAACAACTGTTTCGAGCGGCGCCCGGCCGTGGCGACGGGAACCTGCAGAAAGGACCCCCGAAAGTGTTGTGAGCGTCGCTGCCGCTGCTGTCGTCGTCGTCGCCGCCGCCGCCGCCGCCGCCGCCGCCGTCGTCGTCGTCGTCGTCGCCGCCGTCGTCGCGGTTTCGCCTGAGTAAATGTGGAGGAAATATCAGGCGGGAGCCGTTGTTGTTGTAGGACCCCGCCCCCACAGTGCGGCGCTAGCGAAAGCGCGGCCTGCTTTAAGGCCGCGGGACGTGCCAGCCGCGAAGCGGTTGAAGCGAGCCCTCAGGAGACGATGACGATGATGGCGGCAGCGGTGCAGCCCCCCCCATTTTGCTGCTGCGCTGGCCGCACGCTCCTCCCGCCGGCGATGACACGCCAGGCGGGTCCCTCCTTCCGCCACGCGAAGCGGGCCTCGCCGCCGGTGCCGTAGGACACCGAGGCAAAGCCCAGGGTGGGCGGGCAAAAGAGGGCCCCTTTGGGCCCTGGGAGGGCTTTGAGCCCCGAAGGCTTGAGCGGGAGAGAGGAAAAGGGGAAGGGCAAGCAGAGGCAGGAGCAGGGAGAGGAGAAACCCAAGCCGACTGGGGAGGGCGGGGTCCAACCGTTTAGGTCAAACAACTAAGACCCCGCCCCCACAGTGCGGCGCTAGCGAAAGCGCGGCCTGCTTTAAGGCCGCGGGACGTGCCAGCCGCGAAGCGGTTGAAGCGAGCCCTCAGGAGACGATGACGATGATGGCGGCAGCGGTGCAGCCCCCCCCATTTTGCTGCTGCGCTGGCCGCGCGCTCCTCCCGCCGGCGATGACACGCCAGGCGGGCCCCTCCTTCCGCCACGCGAAGCGGGCCTCGCCGCCTTTGTTCTATAATACTGGTGCTGCTGCCAGTGCCCCTGCACACTGGCCGCCTGGCGGGTTCTACGCGCCGGCGTGCTGTGTGGGCGCCCCGATGGGCGTCACCAAAACTGGGTGCCAGGCGTTGTGTCGCCGGCACCGTCTAGGCACTGAGTCGCGCATCGCCTGGCGTGTGCGCCGGCGTGCGTGTGGGGCCCGACTGGCCCTCTGTCTGCCGACTGCCGCCAGGCAACTGATGCCGGCGTGCGCGGCTGTCCTCCGCGAGGCTAGGCCTTGGGCTCGCGCCGGTACCTTGATGGCCGGCGGAGCCCGACCTCGGGCTGAGGCCCGAGGGTGTCGTCGCTGGCGCTTGGCACGGGCCGGCGCTTGGCATCCCCGTCTGCGCCGCGGCCTCCAGATCTCCCGGCTCCCCGCCTCCACAGGTGCCCAAAGTGCACGGGGCGGGCAGGGTCCTGCCCCTGACAGAGGGGGTTCCCCGGGCCGGCGCTGGGGTGCGGGCCCGTGCCTGCGCATGAATTCGAGCGCTGCGGCCACCCGGGCCGTCAGACTGCCAGCTACTGTAGCACAGCTGGCGTCAGTATGCCCGGCACGCCCAGGCTTGGCATGGAGAGCCGGCGTGCCAGGCGGGTTCCAGCGTGGTCCTCGTCCAGGGCTGCAAGGGGACCCACAGCATCCCAGGCGCTAGTGGGGCCCTGACGGACGGGCCTGCACGCGTGCTTTTGCCGTGAGGTATTAGCCAGTGCTGAAGGCACGGGCGGGTGTGCTCTGCGAGCGCGCGGCTACTCGCCGGCGGGGCAGGTGGCTGGTGGCTGCACCCAAGCGCGCACGGCGTGAAGCCGGCGGCTTGGGTTGGGCGCACGCCAGGTGCGTAAGCACCGGCGGCGCCCGCTGCGGCCTCTCATGGGCTCTCACGCCTGGCGCTCTCGGCGCCGGCGGCAGCTCTGCTGGGGGCGCTGTCCTTCGCCGGGTTGGTCAACGAGGAGTTGCCCCTGGCCATCTTGCCGGAGATGCCCTTCATCGGCTCGTGCGACTCCCACAGGTAGCCGTGGAACGCGTCCGACTGCCAGCGCCCGAATCGGCGCACTCGGGAGAGGTCCTCGGTCACGTGGCACATTGCAGTTGCCCCGCCGATCCTCAGGGAATGGCTGCCGATCTCTTCCCTGGAGAGGCCGGCGGCCAGCCCCGCGACCGTCAGGAAGTGCTGTACCTCTGCCCTGCGGATCGGTGTACCTGACGCCCAGCGGAAAAGGGGCAGCCGTTCCTCGGTGCCCTTTATCCGCTGAGGATGGTGAGCCTGGAGCCGCTCCATCGCCGCGATCGGGCAGAGCGATGTGCCGGCGCGGTAGTGGTTCCTCACCGTCCCGACATTGAGCTGGTCCGTCTTGCTGCCCTTGATGTAGATCACCATCTCGTCGGCGTCCTGGAAGCTGGCCACGCGCTTCCCCTCCTTCTTGGGCTCCACGTCCTCCCCGTGCAGCACGCGCTCGAAGGACCACGAGCGCCCGTCCTGGAGGAGGTACTCTGAGGCCCTCAGGAGGAAGAAAAACGCTGTCACGATGGCCGCCCAGATGACCACTGCATCCTCCTCGGGGAGCTTGGCCTCCTGCTGGAGAAAGCCGCGGAGCCATTCGAGCATGGCTGGCGTGACGGGCTTCTTCCGCTTGGTCTCGGGCCCCTGCCAGCGTTTCAGCCCTGCCAGCGTGCTCCAGAGGCGGCCTCTGTGGAGCAGGGGGTCCGAGTAGCCGGCCACCAGGTGGGCGTAGCGCACCGCGAAGAGCTTCTGCTTGATGGCCCCCTGGGTCCTCCCGACGACCCGCGCTAGGAGGACGGCGAAGTTGATGAGCGCCTCCTCATCGGCCAGGCGCTCCTCGCGATCACGTCCTGGGAGCCAAGGGCTGAGCCCTTGCGCCTGGCGCACGGCCACCCAGAGCCGCCATCCCCCCTCGTAACCTGCCCTTGTGCCTTCACTGAGTTTCTGCAGCATGGCCTCCATCTTCTGCTGCGCGAACCAGCCGGCGTAGTTGGCTCCGCCAGGCTCAGCGCGGCCGGCGGGGGCGAGCTCCTTCCCGGGGCAGTTGGTCTTCCGAGCTACGCCCAGCGCTTGCGGCCTCACCAGGTCGGTTGCTGGCATCTCTTTGGCACGCCGAGGGCTCTTTTTGCGAGGGCTTTTCGAGCGTGTCACACGTTTGTCCAGCTTGACCTTCTCGGCGGCTGGGGCCTCGCGGGGTCCGATGAGCGTGTCCTCGTCGATCATCTTGAAGCGGACTGCCTGGGCGCGCCGGCGGTTCTTGTGCATCTCGTCGGCGAGCGCTCCTCCGGCCCTCACCTCGTCCTCTGCTGCTTGCGCCAGGGCGGGCTGATCCGGTGCCTGGGCCCATGCGCGGAACCAGCGCTTGGTGGCCTCCCACGCAGCTTGCTCCTCTGGATCATGGCACACCCCGGCCCGCTGCGTGCTGGTGCTGCCGAGCGCTTCTGTCACCGCGGTCAGCACTGCCTCCGCGGTCCTCGGCGGGAGCGCCCTGGCTGCGCCCTTCAGGAGTTCGTCCTCGGTGAAGCCCTGGGCTCTCAGGTGGGTCCACTCGTCGTTGGTCCCTCCCTGCACTCGCCAAACCTCTTGGGGCGTCAGGGCGCGGACCGTGCCTCCGCCCCCTCCGGTGACACGGAGGAGCGTCGCCCCGGGTCCTTGGAGCTCCGCCCCAGGCCAGCGGATGGTGCCCACCGGCCCCTCCTCGCTGTAGATCAGGTGCTTCGCTCCATCTTCTTGAGGTGCCCGACCGGCTTGAGGAGGAGGGGGTCGCTGGTGGACTGGATGCGGGGGTCCCATGACACTTCGCCTTGTTGGTCGAGCCACAGGTGGTCCTTTCCCTTGTCCAGGAGAGGCTTGACGCTGGCAGCTCGGGAGCAGGCCGGCGGCATGTTAATGCACGCCAGGCCCACTCCCGCTTTCCGACGTCCGCCCACGAGCACCCGCCTGGTCCGCGTCGCGGCGCCCCCGCGGTGCGTGCAGACCACCTCGAACTTCGAGACCATGTAGCCCAGCTGCCTGAGTGCCGTCTCGAAACTGGCTGTGTCCACCCCGGTCGGGGCGTCCACGACCACCACTTCAGGGCTCTCCTGAGTTGCTGCGACGAGGAAAGCCTCCATCTCTCGGCCCTTGGGGTCTAGGGACAGCGACGCCATGAGCCATCCCACCTTCTGGTTCTCCTCGGGCTCCGATCCCCCGAGGCGCTTGAGGGCCTTCGTGTACGGGTTGATGAGACTCCCCACTTCTCGACCCAGCTTCCCGCGGAGCGGGAGAGCTCTCGGCAGCCCATGTCCTCGCTGAAGCGCTCGGTGTCGAAGGGCCGCCTCGGCCACGGGGCCCGTTTCCCCAGGGAGTCTGAGAAGGCGCTCCTTGGCGTCCTCCAGTATCTGGCCCCAGGCTGCGGGAGGCTCTAGGCGCTTCCACCCTGAGGTGGCCAGCGTGTCGTGAACCTTCTTGACCTCTTCGCGGGTAAGCCAGTCGGCCACTTCATTATGATAGGTCCTCACGAAGAACGAGACGATGCGGCATCCGTGCATGGCTTCGATCCTTTCCACCAGACGAATCAGGTGGCGGGCCAGGGCGTTCTTGGGGCTTCTCTTGGTGAGCCAGGCCTTCACGTTCTGGTTGTCCGTGACGTAAAACACCAACTCGCCTTCCCACTTCGAGCCCTGCTTCGTGGCCAACGCGACCACCGCCAGCAGCTCGACCACCGCTATGATCCAGCCCTCCTCGCCACTCTCGCCTCTGACCGCGTGACTCAGGGCCTCGAGCAGTGGTCCGGCGTCCGTGGCCATGTACTCCGGCGTCGGCGCGGCATCCCCTGCAGTTGCGCTCCCCCAGTCGATGGCACCGATCGAGGAGGTGGTAGCATCTCCGCCCGTCCACCGTGTGGTACGTGCTGTCCCCGGCAAGGCGAGGCGTTCGCGCACCGACAGGGCCTGCGTGAAGCTGGCCTGGAAGGTCGTGCTCCAGGCCTCAGGGACGTCGAAGAGCATCCTCAGAAACCCCACCGACGCGTCCCACTCCTCCCAGGCGAGCTCGACTTCCTCAGGCGTACCCTTCGGTTCTGCCCAGCTCGTCCCGCTGCTGAGGAGCCGGTCCAGGGCGGGGAGCTCGGGGCGGAGGGCCGGCTGTGCTGACGGTCAGAACTGGGCACAGCCTCGCAGCTCTTGGGCGACCTTCAGCGGGACCCGCCTGGATCCTCTGAGCTCCGGGAGGGCGAGCAGGTACTGAGCCTTGATGCATTTGGGTTCTGGGAGCCTAACCACCTTCGTGTCGAAGTTCATGTGGAGGCCCCAGATCAACTGCTCTGCCGCGAACTCCCCCTCGACGTCCAGTTTCTGCTCGTTAACCGCGTCCGGGCCCCAGACTCGCTCCATGGCCCCGTCGAGCTCCTCGGCCGAGGGCCAAGGTCGGAGGCCCACCAGCGGCTCGAGGACGACCCCGTCGTCCATGAGCCACTTGGAGGCGTACCTGACGGTATCGTTGATCCTGGGCGCCGGCGGCTTTCTCCTCTCGTGCTCGCTCTTGGCCGCCCAGGCGAACGCCATGTACTCGCCCGGGCTGCCGGCCCAGCCGAAGACCAGCACGCCGTGGATCAGGATAATTCGCCCTGGCACTCCGACCTCCTTGCCCGGGAGCGTCGTCCCGAACTCTGGCACGGCAGCTGGCTCCAGGTGGTGCCACTTGAAGGCCCTGGCCACGTCGCGCTTCGCCACCATCTGCTGGACGCCCGGGTGCCTCGCCTCCCACCAGAGGCTGAGCCTCGCAAGCCCCCTGTGGAGGGGCTGCTTCGCTGGCGGGTGCTGCTCCTTCGGGGAGAAGGCGTTGGCCGCCCGCATGTCGTGGATCGGCCGGCCCTCTTTCGAGATGGTCCGATCCGGCAACATCTTGGGGACCCTCCCGCTGGGCGACTCGACCAGCGCCGAGGCGGCGAGCACGTCCTCGACCTCGTCCGAGGCCCAGAGGACAACGCCGTAGCGGCTGTCCTTCCAGGCCTTCTCGAACATCTCCAGCGCGTGGTCCACCGCCGAGGAGTGCGACTTGGCCTGTGTGCGCGTCCGCTCCTCCGTGCGTCGCACGGGTACCCCCCCGGTGGCCATGGCCCGGAGGTAGGCGGCGTGGTGCGGGTCCAAGGACTTCTGCACGTCTTCTTGGAGTACGCCGCCCAGCGGGTTCCCATGGACCTCCTCCCGCGCGTGCTTCAGCAACTCGGCAGCCCTCTCGATGCTGCCGGCGAGACGGAGGAGTGAGTTGCCCCGCTTCACGACCTCTGGCACCTTCTCGGGCTGGAAGGTGGGGTGGTCCGCGCGCCACTTGACGTAGGCACGCGCCTCCTCCTGTGCCCTCCCACCGCTCGGTGCCGCCGGCGCCTCCCCCAAAGGGGGTCCCCCGCAGCGGCCTCCCCGCGGAGGGGACGGCCAAGGGGGCGGCGTCATCGGCGGCATCCCCGGCGGCCGGCAGATTTGCCCAGGGAGAAGCGGGCGCCACCCTGGAGGCCTCACCAGGGGCCTGACTGCGTGATCCGGGGGCACGAGCGGCCTGGCTGGATCATCTTGGCGGGGTCTGGGCTGCGATGGCTCTCCCTTGGAGGTGGCGCGCAGCTGGGCACCCAGTGATCTCGGCTTGGGCCTGAGTGTGAGCTTCTCTCCGGACGTCCCTGCGCTGCCGGCGTCTGCTCCCCCAGTAGGGGGGTCTCCGCTGGAGGTCGTCGACCTGCCTGCGGCACGCCTGGCTGCTTCCACGACTGTCATGGCCGAGCGGCTTCTCCTCGTTCGCGCGGCCTTCTGGGGGATCGTGGCGGGGAGTCTGCTCCTCCGATGCTGGGCTGGGTCTGAGGGGGGTTCCAGTACCTCGGGCGGTGGAGGTGCACTCGGCGGTGGCTCTGCGCCTGCGGCGGGGGCGGGGCCTCCGCTGCCGCTGGCCCCAGGAGAGCTCTGGAAAGTCTCCTCCCTGCTCCGCCTGGCCGCCTCCGCTTGCCCGGGCCAGAGGCTCAGGGGATCTGGGTCCTCTGGGAGGGGGGGGGTTATTCCCTCCTCGGTCCTCGCGTGCGGCTTCTCCACCACCTCGTCTTCCGAGCTCTCGGCGGAGTCCGCGTCGTCGCTCGTGGGTTCCTCCTCCGCCTTCTCATACACGATTCTCTGGCGCTTCTTTGCGGGGGTGTCGTCCAGCTCCCCTGCTTTCACCATCTTGCGGGTCAGCTTCTCGAAGATGTCAACGTACTCGCTCGCGATCTCGCCTTGCTCCTCGTAGGGGGTGCCGGTCCAGCTCCGCGGTAGGTCCTCGAACGTGGAGCTGATGCCCTCGATCAGGAGCTCCCGCGCTTTCCTCCTCCGATCAGGTCCTGTGGGATCGTCAGCTGGAACTCCGAGCAGGTTATTCAAGATGCACTCCGCTTCGTGGCACTTGTTCTCCCCATCCAGGATGGCCGAGGGCAACGGGGCCTCGTCCTCCCAGGCTGGATCGAGAGGGGTGGCCGCGCCTTGCCCGCTGGGGGGTTCTGAGCTGGCCCGGCGGGGATGCCTGGCTTGCGCTTGCTCTGCCTCGCGCTTGCCGGCATCCCTCGCACGACGGGCCCGGCGGCGCTCCTTAGCCTCTGCCAGCTGTATCTGCAGTTCCTTGATACGCTTCTCCTCCTCCTCCAGGACACCTACCTCGGCGGCTTTGGCGGCTTCGAGCTTCCTCCTTATGCTCTCCAGCTTGATGCTGTCGGCTGAGCTGCCGCCGCCGCTGGACCCTCCAGCGGGCGCCTCGCGGCTTTGTCTCTGGAGGGCTTGGGCGGCAGCCTGCTGGAAGCGTCTCCCTCCTGAGTGCGGTGGGGGGGCCCGCCTGTTCCAGACAGCGCCAAGCTCTGGGCTGCCAAAGCCCTGGGAGCTGACGCGGTCGGCGATCCTCAGCGTGACACTGCGGTGGGACGCGGGGGTGGCCTCGCTGCGGTGCCACGGCGCCCCCTCACGCTCCTCGTCCGCGGCCCTCTTGATCCAGCGCGGCGCCCAGGCTGCCCAATTCCCGATGTCTTCTTTCCCGATCCACAGGATAAGGCGTTCCCCGGGTTCGACACGATCGTCGTCTTCTAAGGGAGGTCCCTCGGCTCCTGCGGTGCCCCCCTCGTCGGTGTAGACGAACAGGCGAAGCTCCTCGGGGCTGAGGGCGTCGTCGCGCAGCCACCTGCAGGTTATGAAGACGCTCTGGAGCTCGTGCGCGTACATGGGGGCCCCCGGGATTGGTATCCATCGGTCCCCACGCTGCGGAAGAAGCACCTTGACTGGCTCATCGGCTTGCTGCTCGGCTTGCCTGGACTTCTTGACCCTCCTGGGCGGCTCCTTCTCTTCCTCTTCCTCCTCTCCTTCTCCTTCGTCTCCCCCAGGTTCGTCGTCTCCGCCATCTCCTCCAGGGCCCGGTGGTGGCGCTCCTCGGTCGGGATCCCTCTTTCTCGCCTTGTTGCGTTTCCACCCTCCTCTCTTCTTGCCTCTGTTCGCGCACTGCCATCCTCTGAGCTCCGCTGGATGGTCCTCCTCCGCCTCCTTCTCCGTGACTGGCACGTCCTGGAAGCGAAAAGGAGGGGGGGGGTCCGCCAGGTGAACACCGTCACCGGCTCCCGCCGCCATCTTGTCCCCGGCCCTCGTCGTGACGGTGGGCTCAAGCTCCTTCAGGAGCTTCGCGGGGGGGGCCCCCGCTCCCGCAGCCTTGACGACCTCGGCCCAGGCAGCGCGCAGCCTCGTCGGGTACTGGCCGGCGTAGCGGGTGCGACGTAGTCCACGCTGACCGACCTGGAAGCCGAGGGTGCTCAACTCCTCCCGCAGTGCCTTGGCCAGTGGGGGAGCTCCGCTGGGGATGCGCCCGCCACCGTGCAGGCACGGGGGCGACCGGTGTGAGATCTTGGCCACGAAATTGTCGGCTCGATCGCGTCCGTCGTACAAGGCCACGGCGCCCTCCGGGAGGTCCTCGAAGGCCTTCCCGGTGCGTGGTTCAACCCGGCTCCAGTGGAAGTTCACGGGCCCCAGCTTGCCGACGAGGTCGTTCAGCGGGCGCAGCAGCTCGGGTCCGAGCTGTGGGGTTTCCAGGGTCTTGGTATCTGCGGCGAGACCCTGGGCCTGCACGCCTGCCAGGGCTAATCGATTGGTCAGGCTCAGGATGTCTTTCTGCTCGGACTGGCTGAGCGAGAGCTTGGAGGAGTTGTAGCGGTCGATCTGGGCCTGGGTCAGGTCGTAGGGGAGAGGCCCCTCCAGGGCGACGTGTTCGTGCTGGTTGGTGCAGCGCCTCGCCAGAGAGAGCGCCCAAGGGTAAAGGCCCTTCGAGACCATCCAGAACGTCAGCTTGCGGTGCCGTTTCGCAGGCTCCTCTGGGGGCCCTAGCCCCCACTCGCACATGGCGACGGAGATAATCCGTGCTCCTGTGCGCTTCTGCAGCTGCCTGATCCTGGCCCTGTCCCAGATCTTCGGGTAGCGTCCGTCGCTGGCCGTGTTCTCGAGCATCCACTCTCGATCGTTGGCGTCGAGGCGCTCGCAGAGGTCGGCGGCGAAATCGGTCATGATGTTGCTGTCGATCTCCGCCTGGACCGTCCCGTCGCCGTCCGGATGCTCAAACGCGCGGGTCCCGCCGTTCTTGAGGCACCAAGCTGAGTGGGTCGTGCACGGGGGGGCCAACTGGTAGACGTTCGCCTCGTCGGGGCCTGGCGCTGCCCCAGCGTCGAGGAGGAGCCTCTCTCGCACTTGGGGATCGAGGATGTCGTGCTCCTCCTGGGGCCCGGTCTGGGCCAGGGGGTCCTGGAAATACTCGACGGACGGGGCCGTCTGGAGTCCAGCTTCTCGCATCGCCTTGGTCCAGTTCCCTGTCCCTGCGAAGATCTCGCGAGTGCGGATGCCCCACGCAAAGGCGGGCTTGCGCAGGAGTGGTGCGAGACTGGAGAAGTCCTCCTCCTCGAGCTCCTGGTTCCCGACGGCGCCCTCACGCGTTGGGAGCTGAGCCTGCTGCATACGTTTGCAGTGCATGCAGGGCGGGGGCCGGCTAGGGATCACGGGCCCCGCGACCTCCTCTGACTCCAGGTACATCTCCCAGCCGACCGTGAGTAGCTCGCGGACGGGTTTCCCAGCTAGTGTCCAGGTCTTGAGGTTCTCCCCAAATGCCCGGCCTCGCTTGTTGGGACTCTGGCCGCTGACGACCGGTGGCCTGAGCACCCGCATATGCCCTCGGTGGATCATGACGTGGACTTCCCTCTCGCTGGTCTGCGTCGGCAGGACGGAGTCGATCTCGAGTTGGTTCCAATGGTTGATCCTCCAGACCCGGACGGTGGTCGTGTTGAGGGCACTCAGGGGGAAGACCGAGATGCACCTGAAGTCCTTGTCGTGGTGCGGGTGCTGGACATCGTGGCAGTGCATCCGGAGCTCGGCTTCGCGTGGCGAGACGAAGGGAGGTGCGTCCCCCAATGCGGCGGAGGCGGTGGTGGCTCCATCCCACAACTCGCGGCGGAGCTGAGCAGCCAGGGCCTTCACGGCGGCGCATCAGGCTCCTTATCCTCCCAGAGCAGGGCGGCCGCGATGTGGAGCACCAGACGCTGCCTGAGCTCTGCGTCGCCTTCCTTGAGGCCGAGCCGGGTTCTCATCTCTTCGTCGGGCTGAAGCTCGCCCTGGAAGTCGAGATAGTCCCATTCTTGGTCTTGCACCGTGAGCTTCCCGCGGCCAACCCCAGCCTCCTCGTCCCAGGAGGCCCCTCCAATGCTGAGGTCCTGGGTGCTGCTCCTCCCCGCCTTTGATCCCAGCTTGTCGAGGGCCCGGCCGGCTTCCTCGGCGAGGGTTGGCCCCCCGTCCCGAGTCGCCTCCAGCAGTACCTCCTCCAAGCTCAGGGAGATGCCCTCTGAACTGGCGCGTGCGAGCCTGGCCAGGGCGTGTGAATGCAGGTAGTCGCTGATGTCGCCCAGCGTCACGAGGGTCCCGCTCTCCAAGATCTTCTCGATGATGTTCCATCTTTCGAGAGCAGCTGGATGAGTCGTCTCACTGGTCCCCTCCACCGCGGGCGCGTTGGCGTGGGTGTCCAGCAACCAGTCCTCCTCGGGGCCCTGGACGGCCTGCCTGAGCTCCTCCTCGAGGGCGGTGGTCTGAATCTCGTCGAAGGCAGATGGGGGGGACCAAACAGCCGGCGAGCCTCCCGCTCGGCTGCCTCCCGCAGAGGCCCCGGGACCTTCTCCGGCGCCTCCCCCAGCCCTTTTGCTGTCCGCCTCGGCCTTGGCCTGGGCCCTGAGCTGAGCTACCCGCCCGTTGACCGAGGCGGGGTCGACCTTAGCGCCAGACTTCAGGCCGCCGCGCCTGATGAGCTGCGCCTGCACGGTCCAGTCCAAGCTGCC